TTGCTGTCTCTTTATTATAAAGTTCCCCACTTAATGGTTCCCCAATGTCTCCTTGTGGGAGTGAAACAAATGGGGTATTTTGTAAAAAAAAAAAAAAAAAAAAGTCAAAGTCAAACACGTTCTCAATGGATGTTGGTCTTCACCAGGGTTGTCCCTTGTCTCTGATTCTGTTTCTGATATCCATGTGCAGAATCTCAAGGCACATCCAGGGGGAAGAAAAGGTCTGGTCTGGGGACCTCAGAATTGCGTCTCTGCTTTTTGCAGATGATGTAGTTCTATTGGCTTCATCACACCCTGACGGGTCAGGATAAGAGTCAGTACCTCCAAGTCTTAGTAGATGGTACTTTGCTGGAAAATAATAGATTGCTACCTCTGGGTTGGTAGACAGTTCATGCCCCAAATAAGGGAGTTGAAGTACCCGGGGTCTTGTTCACGAGTGAGGGTAGAATGGAGCGTGAGATGGATCGGTGGTTTGGTGCAGCATCTGCAGTGATGTGGGCGCTGTACTGGACTGTCGTGATGAAGAGGGAGCTGAGCTGGAAGGCAAAGGTTTTGAGGTAGAGCGGGTCGTCCACCAATCAAAAGATCGGCAATTCGATCCCGGGCTCCTCCAGTCTGCATGTCGAAGTATCCTTGAGCAAGATACTGAACCCCAAATTGCTCCCGATGGCTGTTCCATTGGTGTGTGAGTGTGTTCAAACTGAGTCGCAGGTGGCACCTTGTATGGTAGCCTCGGCCACCACTGTATGAATGTGTGTGTGAATGGGTGAATGTGACTCGTAGGTCGCAGGTCCAGATACTGGTCCATCTACGTCCCAACCCTCACCTATGATCATGAGCTTTGGGTAGTGACTGAAAGATTGAGATTGCGGATACAAGCGGCCGAAATGAGTTTCCTCTGTGGGGTGTCTGGGCTCAGCCTTAGAGATAGGGTGAGGAGCTTGGACATCCAGAGGGAGCTCGCTACTGCTTTGCGTTGAAAGGGGTCAGTTAAGGTGGTTCGGGCATCTGATCAGGATCCTTCTGGACACCTCCCGCAAGGGGTGTTCCAGCTACGTCCAACTGGTAGGAGGCCCCGGGGCAGACCCAGAACACACTGGAGGGATTACATATCTTGTTTGGCCTGGGAACGCCTCAGGGTCCTCCAGGAGGAGCTGGAGAGTGTTGCTGGGGAGAGGGACGTCTGGAATACTTTGCCCAGCCTGCTGCCCCCCAACCTAGCTTTGGATGAGCAGTTGAAGGATGGATGGATGGATGGATGGATGGAGCTGTATATACTCTATATATTTACACTACTTGGTTTATCTCAGCAGGATTCTTGGTGGACAAGAGAGCAAACAACAGACGTCGCCACTTTAAACGGTTGGCTTGTGGTTTGGGAATCGTTTCTGTCATTTTGCTGTCAGGCATCATAGCAGTCTGTGTCTACAGTAAGTACACAAAAAAGGCAGTCCATGCATTAACTCACACTTCAACATGACACATATTTTCATGCTTAACCATTATTTGATTATCAGACTGTTAGCAGTTTGTTCAACCTGCTATACATATCTGTCTGTAATTGTTTTCTAATTCTGTTACAAAATTAATTTTGTGGACACAATAATCAGTGTAGAAATGTACTCGGACAGCAAGTAATTCATGACAGGGTTGTTGTTCATGTGATTGTACGTTTCTGCAAACCACAAATATGTTACATTTGCATGTTTCATATGGATCATATCAACCTTTCTAAAGTGATTTAGGGAGTCATTGCTGTTTTCAGCAGCCTTTTAGACACTGAACATGAGTGTTTTGTAGCCACCTGTCACTGTTTCGCCTGGGGATAGTGACATTTAAGCCAGATCATGGTCTTTTCCTAACCATTACCAAGTGGTTTTGTGCCTAAACCTAACCACACGTTAATCACAGTTTTGTTGAAACATGTGGGCCTACCCTGTTTTTTCATACATGGAAAAACCCTAGCAGAAATAAAGCTTAAAGGTCCAGTGTTTAGCATTTAGGGCGATACATTGGCAGAAACAGTATATGATATAATAAGTATATTTTCTTTAGTGTTTAACCACCTGAAAATAAGAATGTTTTTGTTACCTTAGACTGAGCTGTTTATATCTGAATAGGGAGCGTGTCTTCGTCAATGGAGATCGCCATGTTGCGCTGCTATGGTTCTACAGTAGCCCAGAATGGACAAACCAAAAACTGGCTCTTGATAGGGCCATCTGTGTTTTTGCATTGACCACCGTGGATAGCAGCCCCTACATAATGAGCCAAACGGTGTTGTAAAAACACTGATTTGTAATGTAAAACCTGTTTTTTATGGCTCTGGTCTGAGTGCCACAGGACTCACTGGGGAGGTCATAAAATATTAAGAGTTGGACAAACTGTTGTTTTTAGTCTTTTCAAAGGATCTTCTGAAATGTTCCAAAAGGCTGGAAAACTGAAAACAGGAAATAGCTTAAACAGTGGCAAATTGACAAAAACAACATTACGTTATCACTATGATTAAATAGCTCATTTTCATTCTGCAGTTGCTACATTAAGTCACGAGAATGAGCGCTTAGAAGAAATCCAAAAGAATCACCTGACGAACCTGACGAACCGCATCAACGAACTCAGCTCAGAGAATGAAAACTTGAAGAGAGACAACATCGATCTGACCGTCCAGATGAGCAACCTGATACAAAACTATACTGTCTTAGAAAACAAGATCACAAACCTGACGGAAGAAAACGAGGAGCTGAAGTCACAGAAGAACAACTTAACAGAACAAATACAGGAGATGAAGGCAAACATCAACATCAGCCGAGCTCAGTGGAGCATTGATGCCTACTGCCCCAAAAAGAGTGATGGTATGTTCAGATCCCATTAATGAGGTCCAAACATAACCAATAACAATAATATGACAGTGCAATAATGTTGTTTACTGGTTGGTCTCTGTTGTTTCAGAGAGACATTGTAAAGCTTGTCAGAAGAACTGGGAACACAACAAGCTGAGCTGCTATATGATTCATAACGCTATACGTTCTGAACGGATAACCTGGGAAGAAGCTCTAGAAAACTGCAGAGGAAAGAATTCAGATTTGGCTGTTATACATGATGACAAGGAAAAGGTAATGAGAGAACGGTGGGAATTTTTATGACACAGTCATGAAATGAAAATGTATTTTCTGTAGGTCTGAACACAGAAGCCTTCATTTATCAATCTCACGTACAAACCAGCTCAGATCTGAGAACAGAAATCATCAAACAATAGAGTTTTGTTTGATTCATGAATAGATCAGGCGCTGATAAATATGGCAGCTGAAAACAATCATCATTTAAATATCCTGCCCCAATATATTTTTGGTTTAAGCATCATTTTTACTCTCTTAATGTACGAAAACAGATCCAACCATTTCAAATGTTGTAAATGTCACTGCCCTCATACTTCAATGCATCAAAAGTTTCTAACAACAAACGAGTTGACGGTGGAGGAGGTCGTAATAATGAACCTTTAGACGTAGGCAGCAGTGTAGACTGTGGTGGTCTGTGAGGTCATTAAATACACCGTCGCATGTGGACAGAGAATTCCTTTCTCTGTATTACTGATTTGTTCTGTTCCCCCGTTATTTAAATTTCGTTGTTTTTTCCTACAGTCGTATCTTACTTGAACTACACTGTCCCCACACTCTCTGGTGGTACTGCTCCGATCCGTCAGTATCCGAAAGCTTTCTGTTTCACAGAGTCAGTCCCACTGGTAACTGTGAGCTGATAGAGAGTGCAAGTCCATGTAGTGACTGTACATTCTGAAGTGATTCATATATGGCTGCAGATGTCAGTCAGAATATGGTCTAATAACAATTCTCCGTCTCAGCCAGATTTACTGCTGCATCATCAGTCCACTCTGACTCAAACTTGTGTATACGTGTTGAGACCTGACCTGAGACTTGATCGTAGCTTCCACTCACATCCACACTGATAAATGCCGAGCTTTACGAGACAATAACTGAAGGCCCAGTTTTCTGTCGTATGTTTTTTTTCGTAAATGAGGGCCAATGTGAGTCTGTAGATCAGTGTGTGTTTATTTAAATATAATGTTTAGATATGTGATTACTGTCTCTCTGTTATCAGAAAGTCATCAGTGATTACAGCTGGGACAGTTCTGGAACTGATGGATACTGGATTGGCCTGAGAGTTGAGGATAAGAAGTGGAAGTGGATCGATGGAAGTGATCTCACTAAAAGGTAACACACATTCTAAAATATTTTGAATTGTAAAATCTGTCAGCCCTGATCTAAACATCATGTTCTTCCCTCAGCTACTGGATAGATCCTCCTGCTGAAGGTCGCTGTGCGATTTCTGTCAAGAAAGATAGATGGAAATCAGTGAGCTGTGATAGGAAACAGCGATGGATCTGCAAACAGAAAGCTTTATCTGTTTAATCACTGCTATGATACTTCAAGATACTTTTTTGTTTTTCAAACATATAAATTACATATAAAAGAATTACATTTTTTTAACAGGAAAAAATCAAACTGAATTATTTTTCAAAGCTGTTTGTGTGCATGTGTCTAAAAACAGAGACTCAGATGTAAAGGTGTAATTAGATACTGGGTTCTGTAGAAAATGTGTGTCTGACTGCTGACACAGCATTTAGGAAAACACAGTAACTGTCCTGAATTTGTATATCAGCAGATTGATGCCAGGGACCAACAGGACTGCTCAGTTTCCTGTTTCTGTGCAAGGAAACTATAAAAGAAGGAGAGGTCATGACGTCAGTGACAACATTTGAATTTTGCATTGGAGCCAGTTTGGTGTCACTTCTACCAAAGTTCATTAGGCAGCCATGACACGTCCCACTATAACCCATTATATCTGTTCTGTTTCATCTTTGACTGAAAGTTCCTTCCACAAATTAAAAACACACATTACGTGATGCTGACTGACGTTTTCTTTTATATAAATGTGCACATTTGTTTTCCTTGTTATTAGTCCCCAAACAGATCATATAATGTTAGCTCACCCAACTCTGTTTGATCCTAAACATCATGATACAGGACCAAACGCAGCAGGTTGGACCTGTTATCACCGACCTGACTGCAGATCTTCACTGTGTAGTGCAGGTACACACAGCAGGTATGTGTTTTGTTATCTATAATAACCAACCCTCAAACTGTTAATGAGATTAGTTGAGTATTTCTGGTGTGAAAGAAACAGACAGGAAGCTATGGTGTTGGTGAGTGACAGCAAATGTTACAGCCTCTAAAGCTTAACTGCTGTCATGTCCTAACTATGTGTGTGCTAGCTAATATCAAATAACTAATACAAATGTACAATGCTCAAAATTATAAGTGCCTAAAGAAATTAATATCTGATGACCTAATTAGGTGGTCTGCATTATCAATTCCACTCTCTACACGAATATTAGTGGTTAAGTCCCATATACTTCCTAAGGTTAATTTCTATGTAAACATGCTACACTTACCCCCACCAGCTGTTTTTTGGGAGAAGATAGAGGGGCTAGCATTTAAATTTATATGGCAAAACCAGCACCAAAGAATTAGTAGGTCTACGCTTCAGAAGAGTAGGACCTCAGGAGGGCTCTCGGTGCCTAATTTTGAAATGTATTTCCGATCCTTTGCGCTGAGATCTGTATCAAGGTGGTTCGACAAAAATGCTGACATACCTTGGGTGAACATAGAAAATCATATTGTATCCCCATACATGCTTAAAGATGTTCTCTTTTCGGGCCTCTCCCAAAAATTCTGTCTGAACAAATTTGGACCAGTTATTGCAAACTCAATTTTTGTTTAGAATAACATAACCAAATCAGTCAAATGGGATATAAAGTGGCACTTAGATACACCAATTTTTAGAAATAATTTATTGCTTATAGGTGGTGAACCAATCATTTTCTCCTCTTGGCAAAACCAGGGAGTTCATACTTTGTCTGATATGTATAATGAAGATGGCCTTAGACCATTCCATGAACTTAGACAAATCTATAATCTACCTGGCACCTCTTTCTTTTTTTATTTACAGTTGCGCACAGCAATGCGTACATATGGTGTCCCATGGAATCAAACTTTATTAATTCATCCCCTGATTTATCTTTTGAACTTTGCAAAAGTTAAAAAAGGTTTCGTTTCTCTAATATATAATGAGTTACAAGGAAGACTAACTGGACCCACAGGCAATGTTCTTGTTTGGAATATAGATATTAAAGATTTTGGGCCTAGCATTAACTGGCAGAGAGTGTGGAGTAATATTCCCCTAACATCTCGTAATCATAATCATCAGTTAATTCATTATAAGCTAATACAAAGATATTATTTATCCCCAAGACGATGCTGCCAGATCCGTATTACTCAGAGCCCACTATATCAGTTATGTCCCCACAAAGTGTTGGGCACTTACCTCCACATGATGTGGGAATGCCCTGGGGTCTATTCCTTTTGGCTCAGTATTTCAAACATTCTTTCTTGTTTAATTCAGACAAACATACCCTGTTTACAACATATATTGCTATTAAATGATGATACTTCTCTGAATTTAACACTCCACAAGAAGAGAGTACTGTTCGCAGGTTTAACTGCAGCAAAAAAAAATGTTGATAAAGAGATGGAAACCACCACATGTTCTAAATGTGTATCTGTGGAAATTATCATTTTATGAAATCCTGTCATTAGAAATCTCCAGTGCCCGTGCTCAAATGGCAAAGATAGAAGCGATACAGAATCTGGAATCGGCAGCAGAGAAAGTCAAAGTGCTGTTTTGAGGCTATACCCTTTTTTTTAAATTTTTTTATTTTTTTTATTTTTTTTGAGAAAAGTGAGAAACACCTAATGAATATGTTTGCTATGTATGGCTGTTTTTTGTGTTTTGTTTTGTTATTTATTTATTTATTTATTTTTTCCCTGTAATTGTCCGTAATTAATGTTGCCCTCGGGACAAGGGTGGGGGTAAGGGGTTTGGATGAAATGAAATGAAATAAAATAAAAAATTGATCACAAAAAAAACAAAACAACAAAACTACAAATGTAAATAACTAAAGCAAACTGTAAGGCATTGTAGCAGTGTATGGGCAGTGATAATAAGTCGGACCTGCCCTGTTTGGTCATGTATCATGACGTGCTGGACCAGACGTAGCTACCATTACATCACCTCTCAGACTGTTGACTCCTGTTTTGAAGCCTTGAGTTTGGCATTTTGGCTGTCACCATCTTGTTTTTTTGGAGCCAGAAGTGACCATATTAGGGCGAGAGGCTGGAGCGAGGGGTGGATCTGATGGAGAAGGACACTATTATGTGGGCCTGTCACTCATAGTGGCCCAGCCCTAAAGTATGCCTGACTTTAAGCCTTAATAAGATGTAAACAGTGATTTAAAAAAAATAAAATCAGCCACTGTACAGGTGTCATGAATGTTTTAATTAGCTATAGAGACCAAACAGTTTTTCGTACCAGGCTGTAAACGTCTGTTTCATCTGTAAAGTTGAACATTGTAACATGGGGGAGGCAGCCTCAAGCAGGTGGACATTAGAGGAACTGCAGATTTTGGCACTTTGTATTTATTTTTCAGCCCTGGAGGTTGCTGCTTTATTATATGCAGCTGACAGACAGAGCCATGATCTGTTTAGAGATCAATAACATGGAAAACAAAAGCACACATTTAGATTTTTAAAAAAAGGAGTCAGTCAAAATGACAACAGGCATGTTTTTTTTTATGTGGTAAGCATGATAAATAGAGTCCAGACACTGGCAGTGGCCGATGACTCTGAGGCTGATGAGGCTGATGAATCCGTAAACACTAGGTGGTGATGGGGAGGTGGAGGGCGCACATGCCTGCAGCAAGAAAGAACTATGGCTGAGAAAGAAGCAATTTTAAAATGAGGAGCAATAAGATGATAGGCTGAGAGAGAAGGTGTGTTGCTGTGCTATTGGTTGACTGTAAATCAGCTGATGACTCAATTGACCTACCCAGACAATGACACCTAGAGATAGAGAGTGAGCATGTGCAAATAGTGAACGGCAGGGTGAGAAAGAAACTTACAGCCTAAGCATGAAAAGTCTTCCTGACTGAATGTTTGCTAGAGCTCCATTTGTCAGTCAAAGGTGAAACAGCACAGATATGATGGGTGCTGGTACCTGTCATGCCCGCCCCATTCATTTTAATAGAAGTGGTCGCTGGTGTAATATCTCATCCTTCTTTTATTGTTTCTTTGGCAATATTTACACAGAGATGGTGTTATAGAGCCGTGAAGAGCTGCAGCTGTAAATGTGCTCAAATTGGGAAAACAGTGATGTCCAGGAGCTCCTTACCCTCTGAGCAGAGGACAAGATCAGCCGCCATTTAACAGGGACAGTAGATGATTGTTTCTGGCACATTCTGCCTTTGATATTATTTATAAACTGCAGCTGACATATATGTTATATGTCACACAAGAGGCTAACTCTACTGTGTTACAAGACACGTGCGTCACACCTCTCTCATTGCACGACTGCAGAATGTGATGTGTAACCGCACACAGGAGTGGAATGAAGCAGTCGTTGCTGAGTTCTGTGTAAAAATGCAAAGAGGGTTTAAAGATGGGACCTTGTTGCGACTCTATATCGCCATCTCTGTGTAAAAAGGGCTATTGTTTGTTAGTCTGTTTCCATGAGCACTCTGATGTAAACAATATTAACTTGTACAGCTGACGGTTTGGTGTTTTCCTTCTGTCAAAGCAATGTCATATTTGACTTCACTGCACTGAGTGAACATTCTGCCACATGTTGTTGTTTTTGTGTTTTTATGAAAATGTCAGTAAACTCAGGTCATGAGATTTTCTGCGTCGTTGACCTCGTGTTAGACTATCGATCCATCCAGAGTCTTTTTCTGCCTTTCACACAGTGCATGCTGGGATAAGCTCCTGTAATCAGACCTACAGTGAGAATCAGTGTAAGATTTATTACCAAGTAGGTTTTTACTTACAAGGAACAGCAGCGTGAGAAGATGCTGCAGACACACAGTGTGGCTCAAAACCATTAACAGAAACTTCAGTTATCAGCTGCTGACCAAACAACAACTGTGTCACAACTTCAAAGCAAAACTAGAAACCTACAGTGAACATCTGTGTGAACTTTAAACTGGTACACTGTAAACTTTACATTTCCCTACAGCCATCACACAGGCTCTGTTACTTTAAACACATTAATTTTTCTCTCTTTGCTGATGAGATCCTCGATTATATATATATATATATATATATATAAAAAATAACTGTTAACATCTCATCTTTTGTGTAACAGTGTGTTGTGTTATTTTTCTTAATGCATGATGTTTTTGAAGCATAAACTCATTGACAGCAAACACAGTCTGCTGTCACACTCTGTCTGTCTGTCCCTCTCCTTCGTTGCCATTTTCCATCCATCCACCAGATGTCCTCAGACTGTCCGTCCTTTCTCCATCACCTGACCACCCCACCCATCTACACACCTGTTCCCACTTCCCTCACCTGCTCTGAAATGTCAGTGTGATGAGAGAGACTTCAGTGCTGCATATTTAATCACGGCTCACATTAGTGATACGTAGTGATAAGTAGTGTTGGAGACTGACAGACAGGAAGTCAACAATATGAGCAATGACAAGTTGATGACTCCATGCACTCCAACACTACATCACACATCAGAAAGATCAGTCATCCCGTGTTTATTGGCTCTTTGTCCATTAGATTATTTCATGTGCACAGTTCATATATTTCTTTATTATATCATTTAGCATCTTCATAATTTATTTTAGACTACATGCTCATGCAGGGGAGAAAGGGACCCCACACTCAGCTCATGAGACAGATCAATAAGACCTTCACAGTTGCCTCTGGCTCCACCTCATGTAAAAGGGTTCAAGCTGGGTGGAGGCAAACTGGATAAAAACTGGAGTGAATAACTTTAAATGAACAGATTATATTAATGCAACATATCCGTGTTAACATGAACGTATGTTAGGCCACTGGAATCTGCATATTTCCAAATTTGGTCCTCCTGTGGTCGACTTCTAAGAGACTCTGTCCAGACAGTTCTTCTCACCGCTAGACTTCCCCTTCACAACAACAAGATATTATTGGCTGCTGAACTAAAGAAAACGACACAATCACAACCTCAAAGCGGACGTCCACTAAAAAGCATCAGAGTGAGCAGACGCCCTCCTAACAGCCTTCATACACAACTGCATCAGGATTTTAAACATTTGTTCAAGATGAGCAGAAGAGCGCCAGAGGAAACTGGTACTTAAAGATATCCTAATGTTTATGTGTCTGCATGTAAGACATTATCATCTGTATATTTTTATGTATCTGGATGTTTCATTTGTATTTTTTTATGTTTCAGAGGAAATCAGCGAAGAGACCGACTATATTAATGCACCAGCGTGCAGTGTGGATAAAGTGGCAGCACCTCCAGGTACATTATGACAAAATATATCTTATAGATTAATATTTTTAAGCATGAGATTAATTTATAAGATGATGTTTTAAAAATGTGAGTGTGATGAAAACGTAAAAGCTCAGCTGCTTTTGTTTTTTATTTAAATGTATTCAAAGCACCTTTGACTGTGTTAAATCAGCATCATTGATTCAGCTGAATAGTTGTTTTTCTCTCAGACCAGAGGTGTCTCTTCTTCACTCAGTCTTTTCCACCGATAGCAGTGTGTTGGCTCATACTGTTGGTCATCATGGGCCTTCGTATCTACTGTGAGTACCTTCTATGTGAATGTCACTTCAACTCAAAGATTGTTGTTGTTGGTTCTTATTTTAAGGGCAGGTTTGTCAGGAAAAAACAGGACCAATTTCACATGGCAACAAATAAATGAAGATGTTGGCCTGCCAACTACATAAAATAATTTATAAAAAGGATGCAAGAACGGCTGAAAGAGTCATAATGACAATCTGACTGTATATAATGCATAACCATATTTTGGCAGAATAACAGTACTCAGATTCACAATGTGTTAAAACTAGATAAACAAGTTCCTTTTAATCGTACAAACTCACTTAACAATCAACAAAGGCAACTGAATTGAAGGAAATAGCCTGTTAGCTTAGCTAGCTCACTGTCAGACGGTCTCTCCAAAATCCTCTGCAAAATGTTGAATTTTTTGAAGGTTCTTGAGGCAAGTTCTGGACGGAAATATTATAGGGGACATCAGATATCACAGAGATTTGCATAGGAATGTATGGACTTCCCATTGTCCTGGCTCCCTACTCATACATGAGGCGTTACACTTCTTGCACCATCTAGACTTAAGCCTTCTTCTCACTAAGACCAGGCCTAATCTTATGCCTGGTCAGAAGCTGGCGTAAAGTTGAAATCTCAGCAGTTTCTATAAATCAGAGTCTGAGAAACAAGAGCCATAAACACTGAACAACAATCCACGTTAGCTCTCCTGCTAAAGTCTCCTTGACATCTAGCTAACTTACAAACATAAACACAGGTCTTGTCCTGCACCTCGACTTGTTGAACAAACATGTTGGCATTGTATGTTTCTGCAGATACATTACATTTGCACATTATTATGTAGTTGATACATCAAAACTTTACTTTTCAACAACTCTGTGGTTAATGTGTGGTTAGGTTTTGGCACAAAAGACCACATTTGGGATGACCTCTGGATCATAGAGTGTGCGCCCCATATGAGCTTAATGCAGTGGCCTGGGTTTGATTGCGACCTGAAAACCTTTGCTGCATGTCTTCACCTTCTCTCCCTCCTGTCCTGTTGGACTTAAAATACTTGGAGAAATAATCCCAGTGCAGCAGTGTCTCAGGAAAATACTCAAGTCCTTTTCATGGCAGTAAATATCCCTGCCAGTGAGTTGCTACAAAACATGTTTGGAGCCTAAAAAGATGCTGGAAACACAGCAACTGGTTTTATTGTTTGTTGGTGTTGAACAGTAGTCTGCAGCTTGGAAGTGCCTAGGTGACACGCCATCCACCATCACCTCCACCTCCCAGTATATACTATGTCACTGTAGAAGTGTTGATATGATATGTATGAAATGTGCAAATGTAATGTATTTATGGTTTGCAGAAATGTAATGTCAACATTTTCTTTTGGCGGATGGGCTGAATGAGGACTGTGGACTTTGTCTCCTACCTCTTACATTAAGAGTGCATTAGACAGGGCTCTTATTCACCAGTATAAACAGAAGGAATGATCAGGGCAAAAACCCAGTTTCAGTGTTCATATGGGCACATGACTGTTGTTTTAAGATAGATTTGTAATGTGAATCCATCCTTTAATGTCTTTATGATCATGTAAAACACTTTTCAGAGACACAAGTCTCACAGCCCAACTCCTTCCTCTGTCTGTCTCTGTAGTTACTGCTGTCATTTCTGAAAACAACACACAGCTGACTGCTGAAAACCAGGAGCTGAAGACACTGATGACACAAAACTATACTGTCTTAGAAAACAAGATCACAAACCTGATGGAAGAACTCCTGAACCTGACAACACAAAACAAGGAACTGAAGTCACAGAAGAACATCTTAACAGAACAAATACAGGAGATGAAGGCAAATGACGTCAGCCGAGCTCAGTGGAGCATTGATGCCTACTGCCCCAAAAAGAGTGATGGTATGTTCAGATCCCATTAATGAGGTCCAAACATAACCAATAATAATAATAATATAACAGTGCAGTAATGTTGTTTACTGGTTGGTCTCTGTTGTTTCAGAGAGACGGTGTAAAGCTTGTCAGGTTGGCTGGGAACACAAAGAGTCGAGCTGCTATGTGATTCATAACGGTGAAAGACCTGAATGGATGACCTGGGAAGAAGCTCTAGAAAACTGCAGAGGAAAGGGTTCAGATTTGGCTGTTATACATGATGACAAGGAAAAGGTAATGAGAGAACGGTGGGAATTTTTATGACACAATAACAAACTGAAAATGTATTTTCTGTAGGTCTGAACACAGAAGCCTTCATTTATCAATCTCATGTACAAACCAGCTCAGATCCAAACACAGAAATCATCTAATCATCTTCATACATAAAAACATTCTTATCCTGCTGCATAGATCAGGCGCTGATAAATGTGGCAGCTGAAAACAATCATCATTTAAATATCCTGCCCCAATATATTTTTGGTTTAAGACTCATTTATACTCTCTTTATGTACGAAAACAGATACGTGATTTTCAAATGTTGTAAACGTCACTGCCCTCAAAACTAAATGCGTCCCTTATGATGCATAGATACAGCCAATAGATGGCACTAGAGAGCAGTCAAAAGTTTCTAAAAACAATAAACAAGGCAATAGTGGAGGACGTTGTAATATTAAAACTTCAAATGGTGGCAGTGTTGTAGACTGTGGTGGTCAGTGAGGTCATAAATAAACCGTCTTTTCACTATATTACTGATTTGTTCTGTTCCCCCGTTATTTAAATCTCTTTGTTGTCTCCTACAGTTGTATCTTACTTGAACTACACTGTCTCCACACTCTCTGGTGGTACTGCTCCATTCTGTCAGTATCTGAAAGCTTTCTGTTTCACAGAGTCAGTCCCACTGGTAACTGTGAGCTGATAGAGAGTGCAAGTCCATGTAGTGACTGTACATTTTTGAGTGATTAATATGTGGCTGCAGATATGTAGGTGCCAGTCAGAATATGGTCTAATAACAATTCTCTGTCTCAGCCAGATTTACTGCTGCATCATCAGTCCACTCTGATTCAAACTTGCGTACACGTGTTGAGACCTGACCTGAGACTTGATCGTAGCTTCCACTCACATCCACACTGATAAATGCCGAGCTTTACGAGACAATAACTGAAGGCCCAGTTTTCTGTCGTATGTTCCTTTTGTAAATGAGGGCCAATGAGAGTCTGTAGATCAGTGTGTGTTTATTTAAGTATAATGTTTAAATATGTGATTACTGTCTCTCTGTTATCAGAAAGTCATCAGTGATTACAGCTGGGACAGTTCTGGAACTGATGGATACTGGATTGGCCTGAGAGTCAAAGATGGGCAGTGGAAGTGGATCGATGGAAGTGATCTCACTGTAACGTAAGAGACACATTCTTAAACTCTTTGAATTGTAAAATCTGTCAGCCCTGATCTAAACATCATGTTCTTCCCTCAGTGACTGGTCATCACAAACACAACCACGTCCTACTAAAGGTCGCTGTGCGATTTCTGTCAAGGTCGATGGATGGCTGTCAGTGAGATGTGATGCCATACACAGATGGATCTGCAGACAGAAAGCTTTATCTGTTTAATCACTGCTGTGATACTTCAGAAGGTCACTTGGTGCTCTATGAAGACTTCTACTTCACAGTTTTCAATTTTTGTTTTCCAAACATACAAATTACATATAAAAGAATTAAATTTTTTTTAACAGGAAACAAATCAAAGTGAATTATTTTTCAAAGCTGTTTGTGTGCATGTGTCTAAAAGCAGAGACTCAGATGTAAAGGTGTAATTAGATACTGGGTTCTGTAGATAATGTGTGTCTGACTTCTGACACAGCATTTAGGAAAATACAGTAACTGTCCTGAAGGGGCACTAAACTGTTAATTATTAATAAGTTTGACTGTTATTTTCTTCTGCTTTATTAGAGATTTACTGATTTTAATTTGTATATCAGCAGACTGATGACAGGGACCAACAGGAGTGCTCAGTTTCCTGTTTCTGTGTGACATTGCATATTGTTGCCGCTGACTGGCCAACAGGGGGCACTGCTTCACTTGTTCATGACAATGATCTAGAGTCTGTTGTTGTGAGTATTCTGATGTATGCGATGTTTACTTGTACAGCTGAAGGTGTTAAGAAAATTCATATTTTAGACCATTATAATAAGTTTTGTTGCCACACATTGTTCTTATTGTCTTTTTTTTTTTCTGAAAATGTCATTAACCTTTAATGAAGTCAGGAGGAACAGCCTTATTCAGGACACTGTAACATGTTTAATCCAGATGAGGATCTGACCTCATTAATCAGTCACACAATGTTCACATCTGCACCAACAGAGCTCCAGAGATGGGCAGGAAGGACAATTTATTAGCGAGGAGTCACAATTGTGTACTGTACAAAGAGGAATTTCATGTTTGTCAGATGTTCAGTGTTATTTGGTGGAGTTACATTAACGGGTTGAACATGTTGAAATCTGTTACGGTCTGATTTTGTTTTCAGGTCATGTTACAGTGTGAGTTCTGGTTTTGAATGTGACTGGAGCCTTTCAGTGGAGTTCACATCTTCCCACATGGGTTTCCACATGCAGTCCAAACATGCAGGTCAAGTGAATTTGTTTGGGCCTTTCCCAAACCAACACCTGAACCTTCTCCCTACCCATTTCCACTCTGTTTCCACGTTCACGCAGAGGGTCTGCCACTTTAAGCGGCATCCTCAAGTGACTTATTAATTAAATAATCCAACAGCTGGCCTGAATCACCTTCTGATCAGGGGCGAATTATGTTTGTCATGGAAGACGCTCCATACAAATGAAGTTCTGTGTGACTACCCTCACATTAAAATAAGACATTCAATATCATCATACAGATGTTAACACCTTAATGTTAAATTGTATTTAAGATCAAATATAAACATATTTAGTCTCTAGAAAATGGTAGTTGTATTTATTTTATTGTAAAGTGTTGTATATTTACAGAAACTGCTGCAAAAACCAGGCAGCTCATAAATGTCAGAGTGAAAAAGGATGTTTCCAAAAAAGAAAGAAAGAAATGCCACCAAAGTTTTATTTCTAAAGGATAACATACAGAAGTTCAGGTAAACAGTAGCAGCACATACAGATCAAGTGTAAGGTTGCCCCCCTCGTGGCCCAATTGTTGAAAAACGCACGCTAAAGTGCCCTCCTGGGAGCCAAAACACACGCTAAAGTGCCCTCTTGGGAGCCAAAATGCATGCTAAAGTGCCCTCTTTGGAGCCAAAAAACACACTAAAGTGCCCACTTGGCAGCCAAAATGCCCTCCTGGGAGCCAAAATGCGCGATAAAGTGCCCTCTTTGGAGCCAAAAAACACACTAAAGTGACCTCTTGGCAGCCAAAATGCCCTCCTGGGAGTCAAAATGCGCAATAAAGTGCCCTCTTTGGAGCCAAAAAACACACTAAAGTGACCTCTTGGCAGCCAAAATGCCCTCCTGGGAGCCAAAATGCGCGATAAAGTGCCCTCTTTGGAGCCAAAAAACACACTAAAGTGCCCTCTTGGCTGGTTAAAACATGATAAACTCCCCTCTTGGATGGTAAAAACATTACTGTTGCAATGACTTTTATGTTGGGCCCTTTTTTGATCTATATTGAGCCAGAACTATATCTCACAGAACCAGTTTGGATTATCTGGTGCTAATATGGTGTTAAAATGCACTAGAATACAGGAAATGGCATCTACTTAATTGAAAATTTTCTGGGGGACCCCCAGACGCCCCCAGGGATTTATTTCCTTCATACATCCATGTCTCTGTGTGTTCTTCACAGTCCAACGTTGAATCTACACAGTTCTCGTGGATGCTGATCCTAACTACAAACTAACTTGAGTAGTCTGTCTAGTTACTCTGTTTTAAGGCTATATAATGTGCCATTTGTATAACATATAAACATGTCTAAAGTGCCCTCGAAAACACGTGGAACTTAGTGCCCTCTTCAGTGGCGAGAACGCGCCGTATGTGCCCTTTTTTTTCTTTTCACCCCTGCCCTTCAAAAGGTCTGTGCACGCCACTGGTCAAAGTTTTCTTTGTCTCCATGGTTACAAATAGTCATGACGGTTCCTTTTTCCCGCTGCAGGGAGGGAAGTTCGTCCAAAAGCTTGCCACTGTATTTAAACCCTACACTTTAATGAAGGGAGTCTCACTCAGCTGTGAAGGTGAATAGAAATACAGTTAAACACCTTGTCCGCAGCACAAAAAACATTCAAGTTACAATGACTCTGCAGTAGTCATGGCTATTTATCGACTTTGATTGGCATTGATGGAAACACATCGTTCAAAATTAGTCAGCACTGAGTTTGAGAGAGAGGCTGAATCAGCATGAGAAATAAAAAGAGGTAACCATGGTGACATTTTCACTGGCCTCCAGGCTGCTTTCTACTGTGGTACTAACCTGTTTTTCGGCCTGCTCTTTTTTAATTTTATTTTTACTTAACCCATTTTTAACCAGGTTAGTCCCATTGAGATCAGTGATCTCTTTTTCAAGGGAGACCTGGCCAAGATGGCAGCGTTAAATTACAACACAACAATGAACAGCAAGGACATAAATAACACAAACATAAGAGATACTCACTAAGATATAAATGATTTAAATACCTACAGGCATCGACAAGTACCAACCGATTCATTCACTATTGTACTTATGAGACCTTTAAACCAGACATATGGACCAAAACCCTCAGTTTCAATACATGTTGCAGGCCGTGCCAAGTGAGGGGAGCAGAGACCTTAAAAGATTTCTTTCCCAATTCAGTCCGTGCACGTGGGACAGACAATAAAACCACAAACAACAACTATGGTGCAACTTCAAAGCAGAACTAAAAACCTACAGTGCACATCAGTTAGTACACTGGAAACTTTTTCATTTCCCTACAGCCATCATACAGACTCTGTTACTTTAAACACATGAATGTTTCTCTCTTTGCTGATGAGATCCTCGATTATATATAAAAAATGTAACTGTTAACATCTCATCTTTTGTGTAACAGTGTGTTATTTTTCTTAATGCATGATGTTTTTGAAGCATAAACTCATTGACAGCAAACACAGTCTGCTGTCACACTCTGTCTGTCTGTCCCTCTCCTTCGTTGCCATTTTCCATCCATCCACCAGATGTCCTCAGACTGTCCGTCCTTTCTCCATCACCTGACCACCCCACCCATCTACACACCTGTTCCCACTTCCCTCACCTGCTCTGAAATGTCAGTGTGATGAGAGAGACTTCAGTGCTGCATATTTAATCACGGCTCACATTAGTGATACGTAGTGATAAGTAGTGTTGGAGACTGACAGACAGGAAGTCATCAATATGAGCAATGACAAGTTGATGACTCCATGCACTCCAACACTACATCACACATCAGAAAGATCAGTCATCCCGTGTTTATTGGCTCTTTGTCCATTAGATTATTTCATGTGCACAGTTCATATATTTCTTTATTATATCATTTAGCATCTTCATAATTTATTTTAGACTACATGCTCATGCAGGGGAGAAAGGGACCCCACACTCAGCTCATGAGACAGATCAATAAGACCTTCACAGTTGCCTCTGGCTCTATCTCATGTAAAAGGGTTCAAGCTGGGTGGAGGCAAACTGGATAAAAACTGGAGTGAATAACTTTAAATGAACAGATTATATTAATGCAACATATCCGTGTTAACATCTACGTATATTAGGGGTGTAGTTCTTGCTGCTTGCTGACAATAAAGTGAAGTGTAAGCTATACTTCCCTTCAGTACAACACAGTATTGTTAAGTGAAAAGTTGAAACCGTTCCTGAACCTCAGAGCAGAGGTTCACGAAAGAGTATCAGAGCGAGCAGACGGCCTCCAAACAGCCTTCACACAGAACTGCAGCAGGATTTTAAACACTTCAGGATGAACAGAAAACCACAGGACAAAACTGGTACCTTAAAATATTCTGCTTATGTTTCTGTATGTAAGATATGATCTACTGTATCTTTTCATGCGCCTGCATGTTGTCTGTAGTTTTGTGTGTTCTGCAGATGCATTTGATGTTTGACAACACCACAGCACCAAATGGTTTTAAATGCCAAAATCAATCTGTATTTTTTTTTCTCAGAGAAAACCAAGGAAGGAGCTGCTCCTGCTAACAGCACTGTGGGGAGAACAGCAGGACACTCAGGTATGTTGTAAACCACAGTGTCATCACTAAAAAAACAAACAAACAAAAAAACCTTTAACTTAAAGTATTACAGAAAAATCTAATATTTTTTAAAGTCAGACTTTAGTTTGTTTTAAACACTGCCGATACCTCACCAAAGCTTCAGCGGTTGCGAGGCCTCCTTGATTTTAAAGAGTGCAAGAAAACGTATGTGAAAAATGAACAGTAGGAACATATCTCTGCATCTCGTTTGTTTCTGTGAAGAAAACTTTTTTTTTTTGGATACGTTTTCTTTATTGCATTTTTGAAACGTAACATAGATCTCCCAAAAGAGGAGACAAATAAACACAAACATTACAATAAGAACATGTTGGATTGCCATGTCTCTACATCCTGTCGTTGGTGAGTAGATCGTCCATTTCTCTCATTTTTCTCGGCATTTATCTTCTTGAGTCCTTATCTTATGAGTCAAATGTTCCATAACATATATTTCGTTCACAGTTTTCAACCAGTCATCTTGTGTTGGTGGATCTGGCTTATACCACTTTCTCGTGATTGTTTTTTTACAAGCTGCTAACAAGATTTTCAGTAAATATTTGCCCTCTTTTAACACAACATTCCCTGTCATATTGCCAAAACACACAAACATACATGACTTAGATACATCATAGCCCAGAATTCTGACAATAACAAGGTGAACATCTTCCCAAAATTTTATAATATTAGGGCAAAGCCAAAAAACATGAGAATGATCTACATTTATAGCCTCACATTTTCTCCAACATGGCTGTAATACAGATGAGTATTTGCTCCTAATTTTGGGTGTGATAAAGAATCTTATTAAATTCTTCCAACAATATAATCTCCACACACGTGATGATGTAGCTGACTGTTGTGTTCTCCAAATATGTGACCATTCATCATCAGAAATAATTACACCCAGTTCCCGCTCCCATTTCAGTTTTACATATGAGGTTGTATTCCCTTTTCTCTCCATTAGGTGACCATATATTGTAGATATTACTCTATATTTCTTTGACTTGTAGATTCTGAGGAGGTCCTGATTATTCCATTTTTATCCAAATTTACATTGTTTTGTTTCTTTGTAAAAAAAAAAAAAAAATCCCTTATTTGCAGATATCTGAAAAGGTCTTGGTTACTTAGTTTATATTTTTGTTTAATCTCCTGAAAACTCATAAAATTACCGTTTTTTATTACTGTACATATTGCTGTTATTCCACTTGGAATCCATCGTTTAAACCTCTGGTCAAGAGAACCGGGGACAAAACACCTATCATATGCTATGAAGAAAACTTTTGTTTTATAAATTTCAGAATATTATTTACGATAAAAGCTTAAACAAAACTCACAGGAGAAGCACATGATAAACAGCCTCATCCTGCATTAGAAAAGAACACAGTTAAAACAACCAAAGAGCTAAAGGAACAATCACTAAGTGTCAGGGAGAAGAACACGCTGACAAAAGAAAGAGAAAATATTCAGTATGTGTGATTATTTAAAAAGAAAAATGTAATACAGACAGAACATTGTATAAAAGGTTCCTAAGAAAATTCATCTCTGATGCAAAATTCAAACCTTTATGAAAAGTTTGGGTAGTTTTCTCATATGGAAATGTTGCACAAGCTGAGGCTTGAACTCAGAATCTTCAACACCAAGAACCATCCTCTATCTCACTGAGCTAACTGGCAAACAGAAACATCACATGTAGCTTCACAAACTGACTAAGCCAGTCACCTGTGTGCAAGACAGCAGCTGTTAGTGTGTAAAGGCAGATTTCAAACAGCTGTCAAAAATTCAGTTAAGACAAAAAAACAAAAATACACATAGCCTATTGCATCTAGACAGCATGGAGATGTTGGATATTTGTTTTTAACAATGATTTATTGGCTCACCCATAAAAACTGATGTTTAAAGTTGCCATTTTTACATTGACTCCAATTGTTCACATGAGAGCGAAATTCAAAATGCTGTAAAAAAAAATTTAGTTTTTGAGATGAAATTCTGAAATTTGCCACATATCATCTACCATGACTCCAAAATTTTGTCATTTTTTTTAATGAACATTGAAAATGTATTTAGCAAGAATTTGCATGTATATGTTTACAGTACCATTTACAGTCAAACATTTTGATGCACTGTAGGCTCAATTTTCGATAAATCAAAAATCTGTGTGGATCGTTTTTGTAGGACAGTCTGAAGATGCTCTGTAGCAAGTTTGGTGTCAATTGAGCAAAAATTGTGGGAGGAGATAGGTTTAAGAAATTTTACAGTTTTTGAAAAAAAAACAGAGTGATGAACTTCATAATTTTTAATAGGTTTAAATGTACCAAAGTTTCTTCAGTATTGGGGCTACAGTTTGATGAAAGTTGTGAAGTTGTAGCACGTATGGTTGATTTGTTATGAATTTTCAATTTTTTGAACTTTAGACGCTTGCTGTAGCGCCACCATCAGGACTATTGGCCTGTTTTGCAGCTGAGGATATCTGGCGTGAGACTGGACCTTTGTGCAAAGTTTTGTGATTTTTTGCGCATGGGAAGTATGATTTCCTCGGAAGAAGAAGAAGAAGAAGAAGAAGAAGAACATGCAGCAAAACAATAGGGTCCTGGCAGCTTAGGCTGCCCGGCCCCTAATTAGTTACTCAGTCAGGGGTCGTTAGTGTACACGATACTAGAAAAAGTGTTCCTTGAAGAGAAAGTTTGGAAACTACTGATCTGAAGGACTCAGCAGAGAGAGATCTGATTGTGATGACATGCTGCAGACAAACATTGTGGGTAAAACCATCACAGCTAATCATCATTAGCCACAAACCAAACGACAACTCTGTCGCAGCTTTAAAGCAGAAGTAAAAACCAGGTGACACCTTACTGTGTGTGGTTTCTAGTTACGCTTCAGATTTTTTATCTGGGACTCAGAGCAAAACCAACAGATAAACAGAGGCTGAATGTTACTTCAAGGTTCTCATCTTTCTGTGTGGCAGTACATTGCTGATTGTTGCTTCTGATGCTCTGCATGACTGTCATTTACTTATTTACAATGTTGGAGTTCATTATAAATCCATCTTTTGTTTCAGGGTTCCTCCAGTGTGCTCAACATATACAAACATCTGTGTTTGATCTGTTTATCTTTCAGGGGAAATCAAAGAAGAACCTGTCTATGCTGATGTGGCAGCTCCTCCAGGTGCATCATGAACACATTTCACACATTTTCTATTGTTAAGCATGAGATTAATTTGTCAATCAGGATATAAATGTTCTATAAATGTGATAGTGATGAAGGTTGGAAATGTAAAAGCTCAGATCTGTTTGTATTGTACTTAAAATGTATTCAAAACACCTTTGACTCTGATAAATCAACATCATTGATTCAGCTGAATTTTTCTCTCAGACCAGAGGTGTCTCTTCTTCACTCAGTCTTTTCCACTGATAGCAGTGTGTTGGCTCATACTGTTGGTCATCATGGGCCTTCGTATCTACTGTGAGTACCTTGTATGTGAATGTCACTTCAACTCAAAGCTTGGTGTTGTTGGTTCTTATTTTAAGGGCAGGTTTGTCAGGAAATTTCTCAGGAAACACTCAAGTGCTTTCCGTGGCAGTAAGTATCCCTGTCAGTGGGTTGCTACAAAACACGCTAAAAAGCTCCTGGAAACACAGCAACCGCTTTTGTCGAATGTTGTATCATCCACCATCACCTCCACCTCCCAGTATATACTATGTCACTTTAGAAGTGTTGATATGATATGTATGAAATGTGCAAATGTGATGTATTTATGGTTTGCAGAAATGTAATGTCAACATTTTCTCTCAGAGGATGGGCTGAATGAGGACTGTGGAAAGGGCTCCTATTCACCAGTATAAACAGAAGGAATGATCAGGGCAAAACCCCAGTTTCAGTGTTCATATGGGCACCTGACTGTGTTTAAAGATAGATTTGTAATGTGAATCCATCCTTTAATGTCTTTATGATCATGTAAAACACTTTTCAGAGACACAAGTCTCACAGCCCAACTCCTTCCTCTGTCTGTCTCTGTAGTTACTGCTGTCATTTCTGAAAACAACACACAGCTGACTGCTGAAAACCAGGAGCTGAAGACACTGATGACACAAAACTATACTGTCTTAGAAAACAAGATCACAAACCTGATGGAAGAACTCCTGAACCTGACAACACAAAACAAGGAACTGAAGTCAATGATGCAGTATCTGAATCTGTCAGCAGGCAGTTTGACTCTACTGGCTGCCATTCACAACCTGACGAGCCTGAACAACAAACTCAGCTCAGACAATGACGACTTGAGGAGGAACTATAACAATCTGACACAAGCCATTTCTGTCTTACAAAACAACTGGAACGAGCTCAATGTGACTCGAGCTCAGTGGAGCATTGATGCTTACTGCCCCATAAGAAATAACGGTAAGTTCAGAACCAGTTATTTAGGTCCAAAGATAATCATCAGTAATAATATTACAATGCAGTAATGTTGTTCATTGGTTAGTCTCTGTTGTTTCAGAGAGACAGTGTGCAGCTTGTCCGGTTGGCTGGATACACAGACAGCCAAGCTGCTATGCCATTAATGATCGTGAATGGAAAACCTGGGAAGAAGCTCAAGAAAACTGCAGAGGGAAGGGTTCAGAGTTGGCTGTCGTATATAATCAACAGGAGAGGGTAAGAAGGAAACTTCTGGAATTTTCAGACAGAGAGAGATGCAGGGCAGACGCTAAAGACAATAGCTACAACAGCATTAATTTTAGAAATAATATAATAATGGTACAGTAACAGTATTTTGGTAGTATATATAAGTATATATTAATATATGATAGTATGTGATGTGACAATAGTAATCATATGTGTATAATAACAGTAGAAGTATGACTTATAATAACAACAGCAGTAGTAGGAGGCATCAGGCAGGACCACCGCAGCAGCATAACCAGGACCCACAATCCAGGCGTAGCCACGATTTGAGGGAACCCATGAGACAGAGAAAAAGCTCCAGAGAAGAAGCTGAGTTAGAGACATGCAGTAACAGGACGTGAATATTATCAAATAAAGAAGAACCAACTTTTCAGAATCTTAAGCCCGTTTCCACCAAACACTTTTGGTATTGTACCTTCGTAACCAAAAGTAACCTTTCAGACAGGAAGACATTTCCAATGCAAACAGTCCTCTTAAATGTGCCACTTTATTTCCTCCTTTATCAGTCTGCACCTGGTTTATCGTCCACAGAACGAGGCTTCATGCCGACATTTTCAGAACAAAATAGAACAGGCTGCAGTGAGAGTCTCTCTCCATGGGATATTTAAAAATAGCTGGTTTGGGCATTTAGTCCTTCTCAGGCAAGCTCAGGGGTTTAGTGTTGCTGTAGCCCACAGGAACGACACTCCGCAACCCTTTTTTATTTCTTCAAGTGAGGATTAGAATATATGCAGTTCACATAACTCGGTCGAAATTAACCTTACTATATAATGACGAAAACTCTGTCTGTGTGTCTGTTCCACGTTTTTCTCCTCACTGACTTGGTCAATCCATGTGAAATTTGGCACAGTGGTAGAGGGTCATGGGAGGATTTGAATGAAGCAATATTACATCAATTGGCCAAAGGGGGGCGCTATAGCAACAGATTGAAATTGCAAACTTTGAATGGGCATATCTCATGCCCAGTATGTCGTAGAGACATGAAACTCTGCACAGAGATGCCTCTCCTCATGAGGAACACATTTGCCTCAAGAACCCATAACTTCCGCTTATATAGATTTTCCGCCATTTTGAATTTTCACACTTCACTTCAAATGGATCTCTTTCTAGGAAGTTTGAGCGATCTGCATGAAACTGGGTAAACATAATCTAGGGACCAATATCTAAAGTTCCCTCTTGGCAAAAGTTGGAAAACTTACTAAAACTGAGCTTCTATAAGGCAATGAATATTGCGGAGGGCGTGGCTCATCACATAAAGGTGTATAACATCTCAAGGGTTTCACCCATCACCACGCAACTTTGTAGGCATATGACCACACATAATCTGAGGGGACCCCTCCATTATTGACCCCATCAAACAAAATGGGGGCGCTAGAGAGCTCATTTCTTATCTAGGCCTAACCGCCATATGGATTTTTACTAAACTTGGTAGATATGTAGAACAGGACGCCTCAAGGTGACTGGAGAAATTTAACTCTAATTGGCAACTGGGTGGCGCTATAACAACAGAAAAATGCTTCAAAATGGCTAAAATGTGACCGATCACTGTGGCTCCCCCTGTGGCCCAATGTTGGGGGTGTTTTCTAATGTTTGGTATGACTAAGTCATGGTATGGTATGCTGTACATAATCACGGTGACTGTCAGTGTGTCATTCTGTCAGTCATTCTACTCACTGACGTGGTCAATCTATGTGAAACTGCACATAGGCACTGAGGATTGGCATAGGTAGAAGGTGACAAAGCTACCAGTGGGTATGGACTAGTATACATAAACGCCTAAAGATCCACTCATTACTAAAAGTGTATGTCATATAAAAACTAATGGAGAGGTCAATGTTTTCATGTGGTTGATTGTTGTTGATGACACAGTCGTAAATATGGAGATGGTGTCTGCCTCCCAGACTGAATCAGGAATATGGTTCTGTTTTTTCAATTTAATTGTAACGTTGAATATCTGATACCCATCTTTCTCTTCTCAGAACTTCATCAGTGATTACAGTTTCAACAGTTTTGGACCTGATGGATACTGGATTGGCCTGAGAGCTGTAGATGGGCGATGGAAGTGGGTGGATGGAAGTTACATGACTTATAGGTAAGAGACACATTCCTAAACACTTTGAATCATAAAATCTATCAGCCCTGATCTAAGCATCGTTTTTGTCCCTCAGCTCCTGGATAGAAGCTCCAACTGAAGGTCACTGTGCAATTTCTGTACAGAGCAATGGGTGGAAATCAGTGAGCTGTGGTAACAGCCACAAATGGATCTGCAAAAAAAAGGCTTTATCTCTTTAAACCCCACAGTCATACTTTTACATTTTACATCTATCAACTGGCTTATAGATATCAAATGTGTGTATGTGCTCTGTGTGTGTTTATGCAGGCTTTTCTCACAAATGTTCCATATGTTTTCCTACGAAAAGCAATGCACCCAAAGTTGGTTGGGGTAAAAAAGGATGGGTCTCAAAAAATTGACTTTTGCCTGAAACTTGTGTTTGAATCCGTGAAACTTTGTGTGAACTCTAAGGTATGTCCTCACCATGTTTATTTTCGTAAAACCTAACCTCAGTAACTTTTACTGTCTAAACCTAACCCCCATAACTTTATGTTATTTTCATAACTCTACATTAATGACATAAATGTCATTCGTGGGGTGCAAATTTGTAGGATAAAAAAGAGGTGGGTATACTCTGTATACCTGAGTATTTGTACAGGACGAATACAATGACTGATTGACAAATGGGCTCTGAGACCTCACTGTTGTATGATGGGATGACTGGTAGCTGCCTGCGTCTTGTTTTCCTGGGGACAGTAGAGAATGTGTTTGGGATGAACAGAGATCTTCGATCGTCCCTGGGTCGCCGTCAGGATGAAAGGATGCAGTGAACTCACCACTGTTACCCTGTTATTGCTACATTGTGAACAACAAATCTGTGTTAAAATCGTTAGGAGGAGAGCTAGTTAGCATTAGCTGTAACTAGGGATGGGCAGATCAATCCTAAAACATCTATACTCTCGATACCACATTTTCATCTTGAAGATTAATCCTAACGTCAATAGGATCAATACCAAAAAAAGGGATTTGTTTCTCTCTTCCACGTTGTACATACTTGTATTTCAAGAGTAAAATTGTCTGTGCAAACATTGTTTTGTTGTTATGAACACATCTAGTGCATGTACTCGTTGCTTTTCCACTGCTTTTATGTTGTCTGCACTCAATCAGTTTACTCAAGATCCAGCAGCGTCTTCTTAGTTTTGTTTTCACCTGATGTCAGCAGTAGGAGGATGGTAAACTATATGTGCATTCGTGTGTCCGTAGTAGTGATGGGATTTCTCGTTCACTTTGAAGAGCCGGTTCTTTGGCTCTCCTTCACTTTGAAGAGCTGGTTCAAAGATGCAGTTCATTGGTCCGTTGTTTTTTTTTTTGTTTGTTTTTTTGCTGTGTGTGTGTGTGGAGGAGGGGTGTGATAAATCGCATTGCCGATTTATCACATTACGTGATCTGGATATTGTAACGTGGACCCAGATTAGACTCTGCACATATAAAATTTGGTGTAGCCATAGCAACGCCCTTTATAAACATCAAGCCTGTCAATACAAGCAAGTGTTAGCGGATAGCGGGTTAACTTCCTACCGTTCGTTTCTCACCGAGGGGGGGTCATCAACAAACGTGAATTAGGAACTGACTCGTTCACCCTGAAGAGCCGATTCACTCGTTCACTTCAAAGAGCCGGTTCAATGACTCAGCTCGTTCACGAACGTCACATCACTAGACCGTAGCTATCTGTGGACATTCAATGCGAATAGTATGTCCGAGCCTTACTAGTTCTATCCGACACATAACAGCAGTGATTGATTAATGAAAGAATTAAAAAACATGAGGAAGAGAAGTTAGAGCTGCAAACAAAAAGAAGGGAGAAGGAGGAAAACACTTCAGCATCCAGACCTCTGACACAGAGACAGAGTTCACTGACAGAGTCTGTTCAGAGAGGCTCAGACAAGGAATATCACGATACGATTTTGATTCGATTCGATTCAGGAGCCTGCAATCGATATGACGCAATATCATATGCCCATCTAACACAATCATTTACATCAGCTCATAAAAACAACTAGAATATGATTTGACCATTTTATTTCTGAGCTCTGTTTGTTGTTTGATCGGAGGTGTGCTTGCCCAGAAATGGTGACACAGACGTGCTATGTGAATTTCAAAATAAATGTGTATCTTTAAGATGACAGTATGGATCAGTGTTTTCATTTTGCATCTATATAATCGGATCGTTAATCAATGAATCGATGTATCGATGTGGATTGATGTATCGTTACACTCCTACTATACAGTAGCCTAGAGAAATTAATGTTTTAGTCAAATCAGATCTTCAGCTCTGGTTAATGTTACATTTTCAAACTGATTTTCAAAATACTGTTACTCACTTCATAAATCGTGACACACCAATTTCCCATCGTTGATAATAAAAATCGTATTGCATCGTATTGCATCGTATTGCATCGTATTGTATTGTATCGTATTGTATCGGTGATGGAGAGGCCAGGAGTTCGCCTCAATTTTGGCATCAGGTCGGATGGTTTGTTTACATGCAGGACAGGGAAATTATGGACGTGTGGAGAAATATGAACATTTGAAATGATGCAAAGGCAGTGTGTCGATATCTATTGATGTAATGAAGTGTTAGGGTTTCATTTTCTAAAAAAAATTTTCTTTTAACTTAAGTGTTGCACAATGACAGTTGCTCAAAGTCGAACACCTTCCTGTATGTCCTGTATGTTTAACTGTGTCATGGTTCCAAGGTTTTTTTGTGTGTGTGTTTTTTTGTGGTTTGTTTCCTGTTTTACTCTGACAGTCACTCTCCTCATGTGTCATGCTTTGGTTTACTTCCTGCTTTTGTGTGTTTTGCTGCCTGTTTTCTAACTCACCTGTGTCCCATTGGTTAATTAGTACTTGTGCACAACTACTGCTAGAAGTAGTAGTATTCTACTAATAGTATATCACTGCTACAAATACTACTACTGTTGCTGCTGTTTGGATCATTGATGTGAAATACATACTGTAACATATTGTAAATACACACAGTATCGTGCATACATAGTATGCAGTACATGTGGCACATGTAGTAGACAGAACATGTAGTATGCAGTACCTGAAGTATGTTTTACCTGCAGTATGTATTAACTTTAGTTAGGATTATATGTGTACACTTCTTCTACTCCTTTTTGAGCATATCTGTTAATGTTTTGCTTGAAATAAAGTCATTCATTCTTTCATTCATTCAAGTAGTTTTGTTAAACTTAATCGTGACTGTTTTTTAACCACGTCACTGTGCATCACTATGAGACCACAAGGGTTGTGACACAGAATCAGTTTTGATGTCCTGGGAGTGAGAATGTGTTGACCTGGCTGAATTCTCTGTGAACATTAATCATAATTACAAACATTTACATGCTGATATAAGGAACATTAACACACAGAGATGACAGTTAAGTGAAGCAATTTAATGCATTAGTCTATTATATTGAATAAAATTATTATTCTCTTATGTATCAATCATCAAAGGTATCTGTTAAGTTTAACAAACCATTTTTTCAGGAAGTTGCAACATGATTGAACAGGATGAGATAGAAGCAGACTGGAAAAACAACACAGTCACACCTCAAAGCAGAAGTCCACTAAGGAGCATCAGAGCGGAGCAGATACAGGACGGCAGCTCAGGGTGTTCAGGATGAACAGAAAACCACTGGATAAAACTGGTACTTTAAAATATTCTAATGTTTATGTATTTGCATGTGGGGCATTATATAGGCCCCTATATCTTTTTTTGTATCACAATGTTTTCTATATTTTTTTGTAATTTATGATGATTCTGATGCTTGATGACATGCCAGCACCAAACGGTTTTAAAATGCCGAAATTTATTTTATATTTCACGTTTTGCATTCTGATGTTTCCTCTCTGCTCGACACACTGGGAATGATAAGATTTAATTTCAACATCTATGTTTGATCTGCATTTTTTTTCTCAGAGAAAATTAAGGAAGAAGCTGTTGACCGATCAATCACTCATCATGGATAAAGCAAATATTGTTTTATAAAAAGTCACATTTCAGTTTATCTAATTGGTTTCAAGCAGAAAGATGTGATTAAAATGTTGTTGCAGAGATGTTGCAAAGTGTGTGTGTGTGTGTGTTAAAATCATCACAATTAATCAGCATTAGCTTCGACAAAAATTCTTAACAGAGCTAAGAACATACTCTTTCTGTCAGATTTAAAATTGGTGCACTGTTCACAGCACAGTGCTGCGGTGGTTAGCGTTGTTGCCTCACATCAAGAGAGTTCCTGGTTCAACCCAGGGTGGGGGGCCCTTCTGTGCGGTGTTTGCATGTTCTCCCTGTGTCAGCGTGGGTTTCCTCCAGGTGCTCCAGCTTCCTCCCACAGTCCAATGACATGCAGGTTAATTGGTGACTCTAAATTGTCCGTAGGTGTGAATGAACTCCCAACAGGATAAGCGGTTACAGAAAGTGACTGAATGAATGACACTGTACTCTATCTTTTCTTTAAACCAAACACAGAATATTAAAATTGATTATATTTATATTTAATTTAGATATATAACCATTTGTGTTTAATATGTTTCTCTTTCAGAGGAAGTTAAAGAAGACGCTGACTATGTTAATGTGGCAGCTCCTCCAGGTGCATCATGAACAAAATACATTTTATTATATGATTTCAAAATACTAAGCGTGAGATTTATTTATCAGTGGTGATGATATATAAACGTGATATTGATGAAGGTTGAAAATGTAAAACATTTAAAAGCTCAGCTGGTTTTGTTTTATAACAGATCTGTTTAACAGATAAACAGAGGTTGAATGTTACTTCAAGGTTCTCATCTTTCTGTGGGGCAGTACACTGTTGATTGTTGCTTCTGATGCTCTGCAGGACTGTCATTTACTTATTTACAATGTTGGAGTTCATTATAAATCCATATTTTGTTTCAGGGTTCCTCCAGTGTGCCCAACATATACAAACATCTATGTTTGATCTGTTTATCTTTCAGGGGAAATCAAAGAAAAACCTGTCTATGTTGATGTGGCAGCTCCTCCAGGTGCATCATGAACACATTTCACATGTTTTCTTTTGTTAAGCATGAGATTAATTTGTCAATCAGGATATAAATTTTCTATAAATGTGATAGTGATGAAGGGTGGAAATGTAAAAGCTCAGCTCCTTTTGTATTGTACTGAAAATGTATTCAAAGCACCTTTGACTGTGTTAAATCAGCATCATTGATTCAGCTGAATAGTTGTTTTTCTCTCAGACCAGAGGTGTCTCTTCTTCACTCAGTCTTTTCCACCGATAGCAGTGTGTTGGCTCATACTGTTGGTCATCATGGGCCTTCGTATCTACTGTGAGTACCTTCTATGTGAATGTCAGTATTTAATGGATAAATATTTGATTTAATAAAAGCAGCATGGTTTCACTCAGTGCAGCCAAAGTGGTAACAGAAGAAAGGTAGTACTTTGTTATTTTCCATCATCTGAGTCACTGGAAGCATATAAATGTTAAACCGAAGAGGTCCCAGAATGGAGCCTTGGTGAACACCCCACGTCATTTTTGTGCACTCCGATGTTTAATTACCTATAAACTCAAAGCCTTTCTTACGCCTGTGGCAAAATAAAAAGTCATATTGGAGTGCTTTCCTTGTTTTTAATTTTCTTATGACTTTAATTAAGGATCCAGCACCCAGTCTTCAAAGTTTGATCACGAGTTGTGTGCATTTTGTTGGATTTTTATGAACAAACTTGTCTGAATCGAAGTCTGAAACCAAAAAACCTCTATCTGTCACTGCAGTTACCACTGTCATTTCTGACAACGATGCCAAGCTGACTACAGAGATCCAGCAACTGAAGTTACTGAGGAACAACTTAACAGCACAAATACAAGAAATGACATACGTCAGCCCAGCGCAGTGGACCATTGATGCCTACTGCCCCAGAGAAAATAACAGTATGTTCAGAACCCCTTGATTAGGTCTAAACCAGTAATGATAATAATGATAAGGAATATAACAGTGCAGTAATGTTGTTTATTGGTTGGTGTCTGTTTTTTCAGAGAGACAGTGTAAAGCTTGTGAGAAGGGCTGGGTACACACACAGCCAAACTGCCATGAGATTAATGCCGCTGCGTGGAAAACATGGGAAGAAGCTCAGGAAGACTGCAGAGGAAAGAATTCCGATTTAGTTGTTTTGGATGATGAAGCAGAAATGGTAAGAAGTAAACTGTGAGGATTTTTATGACAGTTATGACATGAAAATGTAATTTCGTTCAGTCAAAACACGCTGTGACTCTGTGATCGAAGTGTGTTTATTTAAGTATAATGTTAAATATCTGATAACTCTCTCTCTGTTGTCAGGACTTAATCAGTCATTACAGCTCTCCAGCAATCGATGGATACTGGGTTGGTCTGAGAGTTGAAGATGGCATATGGAGGTGGATCAATGGAAGTGATCTCACTGAAAGGTAAAATACACATTTGTTTACACTTTAAATCAGAAAATCTATCAGAACTGATCTAAACATCATGTTCTTTCCTCAGCTCCTGGATAGTAGCTGCTACTGACGGTCAATGTGCTGTTTCTGTCTGGACCAACCTGCTGTCAGTGAGCTGTGACAGCAGAAGACGATGGCTCTGCAAAAAGAAGGCTTTATCTGTTTAAACACTGCAGTCATACTTTAGAAAGTTACCAGATACTCTGTATGGTAATATGAGCTTTTCAAAGCTTTGTGTGTGCATCTTTTTTAGACATGCAGTGATGAAATGTTTTGTAGTTTCCTGTTTCCCTTCAGTCATGTAACCTTTTGAATTATTGCCTCTGATTGCCCAAGAGGGGGCGCTGCGTGACTTGTTTGCAACACAGTGTGACAGAGCTCTGTTTAGTGAAGTGTGTAAGATTTTGAGGGATTTGGTGGCATCTAGCAGTGTTTTGCAGGTTGCTAGCTACAAACTTCTGCCAGCCATAATTCCCTCAGTGTTTATTGTTCAGGAAGTTTTTATCGGGAGCTGAATTTTCTGCAGAGGCCTCTTCCTCTCCAGAACAAATCTGACCGTGTGATTTCAACCATGAATAAAGCAGTTTCACGCTACAAATCAGTTTCTGTGGTGCTGCACGTTGCAGGTGAGCCTCTTACCTCGGTGGCCAATGTGAAAACGCAAATGGCCTCATTTGGAATTGGTTTGTCTGTTCTGAGTTACTGTAGAAACATGGAGGTGCAACATGGTGACTTTCATAAACAAGCACCCACTCCGTATGTAGATATACATTGCTCATAAGTTAAGGAAAACACAGCCTGGACTTGGATCTTCCATGTTTTTATATCTAACGGACTAATGGAGACAACAGTTTTTGAATTTGGTTTTTCCAGTCTGGAGTGGTGCAGGGATGATGTTTTTTCTGTTGGCTAACAGGGAAATTAACATTGCTCCGGTTTCCTCTTAAAAAGCCATTGGGATTTTTCCATTGGATTTTGGGTTATTGCAGAAAATAAGCTCTGGCGCAAACAAACGTTTATGATACTTACACATTTTGATGTACAAATGATCATAAGTGTTATGATTTTTGAAGCTTAAATGCAATTGCTAGAAGTACAAAGTTAATATTAGGCTATAAATGAAGACACCATTTTTAACTTTCTAACATCAAATAGGAGGCCCAAGTTTCATAATGGTGGAGGAAGAGTCATGCATTGTCTGCCAGTCACTCAGGGAAGCTCAAGAAAAACATCTGGAACTGTGTATAAAATAAAATAAAATAAGAAATGAAGTCACACCACAGCCACCCCCTCCTCTGATTAGTAAAGAACAGTCCCTTACCTCTATTGTTCTTTTTTTTCATTGCTGCTAAATTCTATCTCTTGTCTTTGTACATTTGTTCCCTGACTTCTTCTGTACACTTTTCTTGTGTGAAATAAAAAACTAAAAAAAAACTATGAACTGATAAGTAACAGAAAATAAGGCATTATTGTTTCTTACACAAATTACATGAAAAAAAAAAATACATCCCTATAGTCCTACAGTGCCATTACTGGTAACACCACCATGGCTTTTTTCATCAGTGACAGATGATCTTTGTATGTTGGGAGAAAAGCAGATACACATAGATTTTAGAAACATTGCAGTCTGGTAGAAGACATGTTACAAACATTATATCAAACACATGTTCAGATTTATACCAATGTATTCAAGGATACTATTACGTGGAGAGCAGGTTTCACTGTCAGTTTACCAGCTCTGCAAGTTCCTGTTAAAGGCGGACATCAGATCATATGATAGATGATAGAGAGGTACAAATTAAAAGGGTAATATCTGGACAGACTCATGTTCAGTGATGACATTACAATCATTCACATCTAGTAGGCAGGATATTGTTAATGAAATATATTCAACTTTGTACAGATTTAAAAATATTAATATTGCTATAACATTTGTGTGCATTCAAACTCACAGAGGAGTTATTAACAAAACAGGCTCTGAAACATGAAGAGACTACAGACATGTCTCTTAGTAAAGCAGAAGGAAAAGGAATGATGATGATGATGATGATTATGATGACCTTTGTATGCAGTACAACAGGAAGTAGACACAGTGAGAACAACAACAAGATGTACTGAAGAGGAGAACATTTTAACAAGATTAAGAGTTGGGCAGACAAGACTTAATAAAACATGGCACTTAATACTAATGTAGTTTCACATTGCCAAAAGTATTCTGGAGAAGTGGAAAAATTAAAGAGGGAAATTAGGACTTCAGTTTGACTATGTATTTGACATCAGTTTAGGAAGACTGCTCCAATATTTGAAAGAAACTGGATCGATTAAGAGACTTTATTTATTTATGCATTTATTTAATCCTTTATTTATCTTTTGGGGAGGATAAATAACTCTGATCCACACTCCAACATACTGGGTGGCGGTAATGTATCTTAACATTGCTTGCCACCCGCTATAAAAAAGAAAAACCTAAAGAAGAAGCCTGTTGTTTCTTACTGCACATGAACGCAACACAGAACTGTAGGCCCTCTGGTCTCTACTGCGACTGCGCGAATCGTGTCCCCGGAAACACCATGGTTGTTTTGGTATCCGCTAATGTAGCAGTCAGCTGTCAAAAAGGAGGTGATAAACTTTAACTAGCCAGTTTTGTGCACTGGATTAAGGACGCACGTCAGTATCGTCTTTACTATGTCCTGTCCAAGTTGATGAAACGAACCGTACTTCGAGTTACAGACAGATATTTAGTTATTTTGGGGAGTTGTGTTAGCTGGTGGTTAGCTAGCCTGTTAGCTGGCTGTCACTCTGTCAACAAGTTGTGTTCAGGATGGACTGCACGGCGCTGGAGCTCGATGCTGTCAAATTTGCCAAAACAGCTGTCACCTATGACCAGAGCGGCAAATACAACGAGGCTGTGTTTTATTATAAGGTAGGTGGCGTTACATTTTCACCTGACAGGTGTGAACAGCTGCTACCTGTCAACGTTAGCACCTAGCTCATGTTACCCAGAGGTAAACATTCACTTTCACTTGGAGAATAAACTTCAGCTCACCTCTGTGGATTGTACCAAATGTTCTGGTTAGAAAATGACAGTAACATTTCATTTATAATAAAGTTTTGAGACTGTTACTCACTGCCAGCCACAAGCTATATAACTCACTCCTCAGAAGTGGGACAAAACCTTATTTATCTATATTTCTTTACTCTTTAATCAAGCAGGGAAAATGTATCTTAAACATCAAAGTCTTGAGTGTTGAACCTTGTAATGAGCCAACCTCCCATTGATTTCATTTTTTCTCAAATAGCATTTATTTTGGAGATAAAGCCTTGAAGTTTGTCAACTCGGTCAGGCACACAAAAGTCTTCTAATATAAAATATAAAAGGAAATGTGAATGATTTTTTAATCAGAGAGATGACTTCTGTGTGGCAGAGCTGACAGCCACCCGACACAGTTGACATCATGTAACAAAAATAATACACACACATACATAAAAAAAATCCTGGCAGCAAACAGAAAACCATTTTAAACATGGATCTTCTTTTCTTGATTGATTCAGATTTTTACAGAAATCAGCTGTTACAATATCCTCTGGAGAAATCTTGTGAGACTTTGAAACCAAACCGAGCAACTTTCAAACACAATGACTGTTAAAGACCTATCGTTCTCTGTCAGTATTTACTCATTAATTACAGCTAAGGATGGGACAATATACTGAAATGTAATATTGCAATAGTAAAATGTGACAACATGTGTGAGTCAGTCAATAGTTCAAGAGATTTGAGTTAAAGATGCACAGTCTTGGATTTTTGCTGATATCGTATATGTTGATATGTAACAACTCATTTGACCAAGAACAGATACTGATATCAATATATCCACTTTTTCCCCACCTAATTTTAGTGATCATCAAGTCTCTTCTGTCTCTTCTATCATATCACATCATATTATAAATGCATACTCTTATTGTGACGGCCCACCAGCAGATGGAGACGTGAAACAGAATACTTTTCAGCGTATGTAATATTCATTCATTGTGCAAAATAAGAAAAAGGATGATAGCTGATTCTATTAGTTCATTTTAAAGCCAATATTGGCCGATATTACTGTGCATCCCTAGATTTGAGATATGTCTCCTTCATCAGTGTGGATGTCAGAGGTAAGATCTGACGGCTGTATACTGTACATGTATAAGGAGTTCTCTAAATGCTAATCAATACACTCATTTTGAAAATAAAAGTTTTATTCACACGGTTCACACGGTCATGGAAAACCTGGGAAAGTCATGGCATTTCACAGTTATGTTCCCAGGCCTGGAAAAATCATGGAATTAGTGAAAATCATTGAAAGTTTTGATGACAAATTTTGTGCGATTTAAAGGCGGAACAGTGGTGCAGTGGTTAGCATTGTCGCCTCACAGCAAGAAGGTTCCTGGTTTGAACCCAGGGTGGGGGGCCCTTCTGTGTGGAGTTTGCATGTTCTCCTTGTGTCAGCGTGGGTTTCCTCCAGGTGCTCCAGCTTCCTCCCACAGTCCAAAGACATGCAGGTTAATTGGTGACTCTAAATTGTCCGTAGGTGTGAATGTGAGTGTGGATGGTTGTCTGTCTCTATGTGTCAGCCCTGTGATAGTCTGGTGATGTATGAAAAAAAAAATGTATGAATGAATTTACCTACCATCACATTTGTGCAATGACTATCTACCACAAATGTGTATTATTTTAATATGTTTATGTTATGATTTATCCCCGTATTTTAGCTGCACTTCTTCATAGCTTAGTCTTTTTTTATGTGATTTTCCTCATATACATAATATTTAATGAGCATTGTTGGAGGGAGCCTGAGATCTAAGAGTTTCATTGCCAATGGCTGCGTCTCTGTGCATATGAAAATATATAACTTGAAGCTGCATCTTGTTGGATTTCTCGCTGTAGGAAGCAGCCCAGGCCCTGATATATGCTGGCATGGCGGGGTCCAAACTGGAGGGGATCCAGGAGAAAGTGAATGAGTACTTGGATCGAGTTCAAGCCCTCCACAATGCTGGTAAGCTCCCCTGACCAAAAACTCAGGGGTCCACTGTTTTCATGATGCTGTTCCAAGTTTTTAATCAGAGTGATGCATGAACAGTGACTAAGAAACTGGAGGTTCAGTGTTTCGTTTAAGAGCTTAGACGTGACCCACAGTGTAACTCAAACTGGCACAGATTCTCTTAGTTTTACAGTACTTTCCTGCTGACTTAAATGTTTCCCTACATGTTTTTTTGTTTTTTATTTTTTCATAATAATGCTGTGTCACATCTACACATTTGCACATGTTCACGTCTTCCATGTGCAAATAGATTCGTTTGATATTTGCTGTAATTGTAAAGCATGCCAATGGATTTTGTCTACTCTTTGCATTGTAAAAAAAAAATCACGACAGTGGCTTTACACAAATACACAAATCATGTATGACATTGACAAGTCTCACACCTGATCATTTTCCAAAGCTCATCACTTATTTCTGTTTTAAGCCCAGTTCAGACCAAAGAACGTTCTGCAATGTTCTAAAACCTTGCTGGTTCACACCAATGGCACTAGATAAGATGGTACTTCTGTTCTGATTTACAGCTTTTCAGGTTTATTTCGTGGCTGAATATAATTTGTAGCTCCTTAAAGGTATGAATGAAGATAGTGATAGTGAGATACTGGCTACAGTTGCATTTGTAGTAGTGATGAAACAGCGAAAAACAGACACAAAAACAGCATCAGATGGACTGTATTCATAATAAATACGCCACAGTAATATAAATAATCAGCAGCAATTTATCAGTCAATGAGAATGTGTGTGTGGGCGGGTCATAAGCACATACAGCAAGCAGCTGCAGTTCACACCGCAACTTCTCTCTGCAACGTTCTCAAACAGCTTCATCTCATCATGAATCTTTGGTCTGAACTGGGTTTTAGATTATTTTTTTTTATGCTGTTTCTCCTCCTTCCAAACAAACACTGCTTTCACTGGTTTGCAGAAACACGCCCCTTTAAGTTTTTATTTGACAAACATTATAAATATGTTGACACTGCATGTTGATTTGAATACTTGCACAACCAGATTGAAAGACAAACACACAGTATTGCATCCACAAAACGTGATTTGCAAAAACACAAATGACAAACAAGACGTCATGATGACCAGCAGGAAGGTTTTTTGCCTTTACTGTGTTTCCAGCAGCTGACAGCTTGTATTATGTGACATGTTATTGTTCATCTGTTCCTGCTTTTCACCTGAAGTGAATCTAATCTGATCTAAAGTCCTGCAGGGGAGGAGTTTGTGACTAGTAATAAGTAAGGAATCGTTCAGACTGTCACTGAATGGGCCCTGAGGACACGCTTTTTTATTTGGTGTCTGACTGCTTTTTTCCATGACTCTCCTCATATTATGGGTGTATCCGTGTCTGTGTGTGTGTACGTGTTTGTGTGCACACATGGGTGTGACCGCAGATACTATGGGAGTGTCCCATTTTGTTGGATGACATTTAGTACTGTGTGCAGCTGTTTTCTGTGAGATGAAAGTCACATGTTTCTGTAACAGCAGCTCTAAAGAGAAGAGTGTAGTTGAGTTTTTTAAACTCTAATAAGCTTTTTCATAGTTATGTAATGTGTTTTAATCCATGTAGAAAAAAACATGTACAATAAATTCTAAGTCAGACTTAGGCTTAAGCTACAGCACTTTCTGTAACTGAACCAGGAGTAAGTCTGATGGCTTTATTAGATAGGACTGACCAAGAGTGAAAGTGGAGAGAGTGGGAATGACATGTAGCAAACGGCCGGGCGCTGTAATCGAAACTCAATCAATCAATCAATCAATTTTATTTATAAAGCCCAATATCACAAATCACAATTTGCCTCACAGGGCTTTACAGCTTACGACATCCCTCTGTCCTTAAGACCCTCGCAGCGGATAAGGAAAAACTCCCCCCAAAAAAAACCCCCTTTAACGGGGAAATAAAAACGGTAGAAACCTCAGGAAGAGCAACTGAGGAGGGATCCCTCTTCCAGGACGGACAGACGTGCAATAGATGTCGTACAGAACAGATCAGCATAATAAATTAACTGTAATGCACATGACACAATGAGAGAGAGAGAAAGAGAGAGAGAGAGAGAGAGAGATGCAGGTAATGACAGTAGCTTACAACAACATTAATGAAAGTAATAATATTATAGTTATAGTTCTGGCTACTGTGGTACAATATGTTGAAAGTATGTATTAATATCAGACAGTATACTTGTGTGACAATAGTCATATGTGTATAATAACAGTAGAAGTATGACTAATGACTAATGATGGCAGCAGCAGCAGGAGGCATCTTGCAGGACCACGGCAGCAGCACAACCACACACGTCACGCTGTCCAGGCACCGCTGCGATATGAGTTAATCTGAGAGACAGTGGAGCACAAAGGCTCCGGAGAAGAAGCCGAGTTAGTGACATCCAGAATGGCCGAGTTAGCAAGATGCAGTAATAGGATGAGAGAGAGAGAGAGAGAGAGAGAGAGAGAGAGAGAGAGAGAGAGAGAGGGAGAGGGAGCCTGGTGTATTATAGGGGGTCCTCCGGCAGACTAGGCCTAAGTCAGCCTAACTAGGGGCTGGTACAGGGCAAGCCTGAGCCAGCCCTAACTATAAGCTTTATCAAAGAGGAAAGTCTTAAGTCTAGTCTTAAATGTGGAGACGGTGTCTGCCTCCCGGACCGTAACAGGAAGATGATTCCACAGGAGAGGAGCCTGATAGCTGAAGGCTCTGGCTCCTGATCTGCTTTTGGAGACTTTAGGGACCACGAGTAACCCTGCGTTCTCAGAGCGCAGTGTTCTGGTGGGATAATATGGCACTATGAGCTCTCTAAGATATGACGGAGCTTGACCATTTAGAGCTTTATAAGTTAACAGTAGGATTTTAAATTCATTTCTGGATTTTACAGGGAGCCAGTGCAGAGAAGCTAAAACAGGAGAAATATGATCTTGTTTCTTAGTTCCTGTTAGTACACGTGCTGCTGCATTCTGAATTAGCTGGAGAATTTTTAAGGACTTACTAGAGCTACCTGATAATAGAGAGTTACAGTAATCTAGCCTTGAGGTAACAAAAGCGTGGACCAATTTTTCTGCATCTTTTCGGGTCAGGATAGGCCTAATTTTCGCAATATTACACAGATGAAAAAATGCAGTCCGTGAGGTTTGCTTTAAATGAGAATTAAAAGACAAATCTTGATCAAATATTACTCCGAGGTTTCTTACGGTAGTGGTAGAGGCCAGAGCAATGCCATCTAGAGAAACTATGTCATCAGATAAAGAGTCTCTGAGTTGTTTGGGGCCAAGAACAATAACTTCAGTTTTGTCTGAATTAGGGCCAGCCTAACAAAATGTACAGATACATAAAGAAGTAATCCCTCTCAGTCATCACTGACCCACTCAGTTATGTGGTGCTGTATTTATCAGCAGAGACTCTGCCGTCTGACTGGATTTTTTAATTTTCGTCTTATTTTCTGTGTTCGGGACGTTCCTGTGCACAGCACGCCGGTAAGGTCAGGACTTTAAAAAAAGGTAGTGACCAGATGTCTGACCAAAAGCAGCAGGCATCCAAGAGGAGGCTATGAAAATCACAGGTACAGCTCAGAAAAATACAAATATACCAAGGGGAAACGCAAGCGGACAAAGCTTGTTCTAAAACGAGAGAGTGAATCTGGGGTCGGCTTTCACTTTTGCTAGCAAAACTGTTTACAAACAGTAATTGAAGTAATTCCTGCATTGTATACTTTTAACTGGTGGAGACGGTCAGAGAGCTGAACATTGGATGTCTAATCATTCTTTCACTTAACCTTTGACCCCAGTCCAGAAGAGCGACCCGCTGAAGTCCCGGCAGCAGGTGGACCTGGAGCGTGCACATTTCCTGGTCACCCAGGCCTTCGAGGAAGACGAGAAGGGAAATTATGACGAAGCCATTGAGCTGTACTCTCAGGCTGTGGAGCTGTGCATTGACACGGTGGGTCTCTTTTGTCTCTGTATGTCTGTCTTTGTCATCGCTGGCAACTATCGTTCACTCCCTCACATTATCCCTGCTCGCTTCCACATTTTCTCTCCCTCTGTGTTTGCAACAGTCCAACCAGACATCGGACCAGGCGCTGCAGACCAAGCTGAAGCAGCTGGCACGTCAAGCTTTAGACAGGTAAGTGTCAGTCCTCCGGACGAGGCTGGTCCATCACATCCTCTCCATGGAAGTGTTTCAGAGGCAGCGTGTCTTTAAGCATCGAGTCTCTGTACTTTCTGTTCTGTTGTTCAGTTTTTCCTTGTTATGATTATTTTGTTCCCAATTGTTTTTTTCTGTTTTTGACAGAAAAACCTGACATGACTTTCCAGACTGAATCAAACTGACTCCTTCTTTATGTTCCATCAGGGCGGAGGGTCTCAAAGAATCCCAGTCCAGATCAACTCCAACTCAGGACAGGACGGGGCCTCCTGGAGCCAAGCCCAGCAGTGGGGCCAGCTCTGGGGGACCAGTCCGCCAGTACTTCCCTCTCGGGCCAGACTTCAGCCTCCATGACCGACCACAGCCCCAGCCGATACGAGCAGTCCAGTCCAGCGAGCCCCAGGGTCAGCGCTACACGTCTGAGGAGATCGAGGTGCTCAGGTGAGCCGACTGGTGGGATCTGTTGTTTGGTAATGCTACTTGGAATGATTTGTACAGGTCCTGGTAGACCTGGAAAACTACTTAATGCTATTTTCCAGTCAGGGAAAAGTCCTGGAAAAGGACAAGGTGTATTTGAAAAAAGATGGAACACATTTTCAGTGCCTGAATATGCGATTGTTGGAAATGTGTGACTGTTAAATGGTTTTAAATGTGACATTGAGTACAAACAATTCAGACACAACATGGCCTGATGTCTGAAATTGAACTGGACTAAGGCTTCAGGCTTCAGATTTCAGGACATGCTTTGCCCATCTTGTGGAATACTCCACTGGTGTCGTCTTAAGTGTAGATTAACCTGTTTCCACCGATAATGAGAGATTGTCCTGGAAATGTCTGAGGAAGGTGAGAGACCTGTTTGATTTAAGAAAATCGTCTTCAATCTAAAAAAAGAAAGAAAAAGATGTCGAAAAATTCATTACTTTGTTCTTGTCTGGTGACGATGTGACAGCCACTACACTCCCACAGAAAAATTCAAGTTCTTAACACCAAAGTCTGAAATAGTTTCTTTTTTCACATCATCAGCCACCGTGCTGACTAAAATCAGCTGTTTGCTGCTCTGTTGCACTCATCATTTTTTCCATCTTTATTTTCAGGAGTACATCTACAATCAATGGCATAGCCTACGTGCCCTTCATGAGTGTGGACCTGAGGGAGCGATTTGCCTTTCCTGTCCCTTTCTCGTGAGTTTACTTTCTGTTACTTTATTTCAGTTTGTTAGAGTCAGCAGCACAGTGTCAAAGCTAATAAATCAATATAATAAATGTGAGGATTTACAGTAAGCTGTCACACAAGCCGGTTAAAGATCTGCTTTACATTTTGAATTTCACAGACTTGTTTATCCTGGACAAACACAAGCAGCACTGAAAGGAAAATGTTTGTACAATCGTCCTCTTAATCTGTGTTCGCACTTTTTTAAATGCCTTTGCGCTGGCGATAGCTGTGGCCAGAGGCCTTATTTTTCGGGTTGTCTGTCCATACGTGCATCCGTACGACCGTCCCATCCTTGTGAGCACGACATCACAAGAACTCCTGAGGGGAATTTCTTCAAATTTGGCACAAATGTCCACTTGGACTCAACAATGAACTGATTACTTTTTGGTCAAAGGTCAAGGACACTGTAGTCTCGCTCACCAGACCTTTCTCAAGAAAAGAACGGTCTGGCTGCGCCGACTCTCACTTTAAGATTGGAGGAAAAAACGCCCCGGCTTTTTTTATTTCTTTCAACCGATCACAATCGTTCTGGGCGGTGCCACAGCAACAGTGCGCTTGCAAAAATATTGCCGGGGGGAAACAGGTTTTGGTGTAACACGCCCACAAAAATATCGCCTACAGGACGCGAACTATGGCAGAAAAATGGCTACATCCCCGCAAGATCAAACACTGCAAAAGTTAGTAAAGGACGTTTGTCGACTATGACAACCGGAGGTGGTAGGGCGGGACTTCAGCAGCTGGCTCGTTCCGCCCAATGAGAGGCTGATCTATGCAGCGAACTTCCGCCCACTCAGACTAAGGACACTGTGACCCTGTCTGCCTCATTCTCGTAAATGCGATATCTCAAGAATGCCTTGAGGGAATTTCTCTACATTTGTCACAAACATTCTCTTGGACTCAGTGAATAATGAACTGATTAAAGTTTAATGGTCATATGTCAAAGGTCAAGTCTATGTGACCTCATCTGTCTCATTTTTGTGAACGCGATATCTCAAGAATACCTTGAGGGAATTTCTTCTAATTTGGCACAAACGTTCACTTGGACTGTTAGTACTGACTGGATTTCGGTGGACTTCAGTTAAGGTCAATGTTGGTGAAGATTTTCAGTCATCCAGGTCATGGTAATTTTAAGTGCTGTATCGTAAGGAACTGGACTAAACAATTTGGGAAGAATGCCCTTCAACTGGTGCGTCCAGATGCCTACGATATAGCACTTGAGGTCAAGCTAAATGTGACCTTGCATCTGTTTCATTAATGTCTCAAGAACACTTCAAAGGAATTCCTTTAAATTTGACACAAATGTCCACTTGGACTGAAGAATAAACAGATTTTTGCGTCGGCCACCGTAGTAAGAAGCCCAACTGCAACTGATTTGTAACGTGAAACTGCTTTATTCAGTGTTTCTAGCAGTGTAAATCACCTGTTCCATTTGTTTTGGAGAGGAAGAGACCTCTGCAGATAATGCGGCTCCCTGTAAAGACCTCCTGAACACTGAAGGAATTCTAACAAGGAGAAGTTGACTGAAATGAGGCCATTGCTCTGTCTGTTGTTACTGTTTTGAGTAAGAGGCCCTTTGCGATGGAAAATGGCATATTATACATTTAAAACCCGCTCAATTTGGGTTTTATCTGAAGAATTTCAGGCTTAGTGTTCCTTGCCTTACATTCACAGCTCTTTACCAGACTTACTCATGTCAGAAAGTCAATGGACAAAGGTAGTTTATAAGCAGACTTCACGAGAAGAACACAGGATAAAATGGCACTGTTTTTAACATAGTTGTTTTTTTTATTTCCTTGGCCTCATGTGGCTCCAACATGATGAACTGGGGGCCTCAATCAGCTGTTGTAGATACAGCTGACATGGTCACAGTATAGAGACAGGATGTAGAAGGATATTTTGGAGATATTAATAGCTGTTTGTTAACTTTTTGCTTCACTCGGCATGAAGGAGAAGAGGAATTGCGTTGGCTTTGCCATGACTGTGATGGTTGGTAAACTGAATACTTGTTAGTGCAAAATATGAATGATCTGCATCTTCAAACCAAAACATTTGGAAGATTTTATATTCAGTTTGGTGTGATGGACAAACAGAGAATGGATGTCTTGCTGTGACGGATCTGAACAGTTTTTAACAGTTTTGTTCTTGTTCCTCGCACCAGGGACAAAACAGGGAAACTGGCACTGTCTCCCAAACAGAAAGCCATCTTCTCCCGCTGGGTCCGGCCAGACGAGATCTGCAATAACCCCACCATGATCATGTCTGTGTCCAGCTTCAGCATCAAACAGGTCAGACTGACAGCTGGAGTCAGTGGATCCAGATTAAATATGAACCTTCTTTAATTGTACTGTTTGTCAAACCTTTGCTTGCACACTCTCTCTTTTCATATTTGATCATAATATTTTGCTTTGCACTTGTAGAGAGCAACTTTTTTAGGCTTTAAAATTTCCATTTTTAATATATAATGTTTCTCTGGCTTTGTTCACGATGTTACAAGTGTAAGAAACACGCTTACAGAAAATTATGAAATATTGGAGAAATATTAGGGTTTCATGGAAATTAAAACAATCCTTCTTGGCGAAGTAAACAGTCAAATAAATCTTAAAAGTAGGTTTTTTCAGCTTCAAACCTCAATTTAGCAAAATCTGTGACACCATGTAACGTGCTGGAACTACATTAATACAACACAGAATCAACATTTGGTTGCATGAAAGTAAAAATTAGTGGGGATGTTAGTTTTTGAAAATTAAAGATTCTTCATTCAGTACAAACTTCTGCCTAATCTGGTGAAAAATAAGTAATTGGTGAGGCTCAGAATATGATCACAAAACTGATGAATTTGGCTCTTAGGGCCAAAGTTCAAAATTCGTTCATAATTAAAAACATATTTTGAGTAGAGCTGTAGGACTGTGCAGGGTCCCATGAGTTAGATAGAAGTTTTTGCATGATTTTTTAAATTTATTTTTTATTTTTTAATAAAATCCATGATGTGAAATGGAAAAAAGTTCTGAATTCTGGGCGAGTTGTCATGAAGTGACCCCGTTCTGTATTTACTGGATGTTCTAGCTTGTTTAAAATCATCCAGCAGAGGGCGCAGCGTTCCCACAGATCAGGACCTTCATGGTAGACATGTCCGAATAACCTTTGGCAGGGATACAGAGAATAAACCTTCAGCCCTCGCACAGTTTGTCAAACTTGTTTTGTGTGTTTTGTATGCAGTTATATGTAGGAATGCTGTTTATACAACTGCAGCTTTATTACTGATACACACTTATTAAAAAGGTAAATTTGACTTTTATAATTAATGTGATCCTCTCTCCTTTTGTCCAGACGGTGGTGTCTGACTGTTCGTTTGTGGCGTCGCTGGCCATCAGTGCGGCCTATGAGAGACGCTACAACAAGAAACTCATTACCAGGTACTGTATGTGTATAGCTTCTATATGTTGACTGTACTTCTACTCCATCTCAGAATAAAGAAGGGTGATCAGTTGTAACTCAGAGCGCCAACACACCAGTTGGTTTCATTTTAACTGCTCTAAAAGAAGAGCGTGGCAGTTGAAAGGTGCTGTCGCTCCTCTACTCTGAGAGTTCTACTGGTCCGTGTCTGCAGACCACCAATAATAATATCATTAACATTTGGAGTTAAGTGAACTATATAATTCTGTTCATGTTATATTTTATGAATGATCACGGAAAATTTATTACGGGTTCTTGAAAAGTGAAAAAGTTTTGAAATGTTGTCCATAAAAATGTGTGTGAACCCTGCTGATCATCTAGACAGCCTGATTAGAACTGAGTGCATTACATGAAGTACATTTACATAATTCCCTGCATCATCATTTGGGACCTTGAGTGCCTTACATTGAATATTCAACAAAAGCCAACATTGTCCACCAGTGTCATCGAAGCTGCACTGCACATGTGCTGCATTTATCCATTGCAGCTTCTAAACCTTTTAAATAAAGGCGAACAGGGGCTTAGCATATGTACATAAAAAATCATGGACAAGAATCAACCTTCAGACTTTAAATGAGTTTGTGTGTGTGTGTGTGTGTGTGTTATAGCGTCATCTACCCTCAGAACAGACGAGGAGAACCAGAGTATAACCCGTGTGGGAAGTACATGGTCAAGCTTCACATTAACGGAGTTCCCAGGAAGGTAAAAAATAAATGACCACAGCCTGCTGATCTGGTGAAGCAAATCACTGAAGGGGCAGCACAAGACATACAGCACATTAAAATGCACTTTCTGCACACACATTTATACGTCAAAAGGCACCAGTAGTGTGCTGGTTTGAAAATATTCTTCCTGTCCTGTTTGTGAAGGTGATCATAGACGACTACCTGCCAGTGGATCGTAACGGAGAGCTGCTATGCTCCTACTCCAGCAACAGGAATGAGCTGTGGGTCTCCCTGATAGAGAAGGCCTACATGAAGGTGATGGGAGGCTACGACTTCCCTGGCTCCAACTCGGTGAGTGGAGGCGGACAAAGCTGCTGTGGTGAAACTGCTCATGAATATGTTCAAAGTGAAAGTTTGGAGCAACTGAGAATGAGGAGCAAAAGCATCTGTGTTATGGCTTTAAAGATTAAAATAGTGTTTTTAACAATCTTTTATTCAGAGAATCACTCCTTTATCTCCTCATGTTGAAATAAACAGATTTGGTATGTCTGGAAGTTTGTAATAAAACACATCTAATGATCTTTTTCAGGTCCTGAAAGTTTTTGAAAGTTTCACAAAATATGCAAAGAATTTTTCCAAAATATTGGCGGCCATTTTGCCACACCACCCCCAGTAGGCACCAAACTGAATACAGACTGATGTCTGAAGTCTGATGAAATATGTCAGAATTTTTATGCCTCCATCCGTCCCATTCTCGTGAATGTGACATCTGTAAAACACCTTGATGGAATGTTTTCAAATTTGGCACAAATGTCAACTTGGACTCAACAAAGAACTGATTAGATTTTGGGTGTCAGAGATCACAGTGGCCTTGTTTGTCTTATACTTGTGAACACATTATCTCAAGAATAACTTAAGGGATTTTTTTTTTTTCAAATTTGGCACAAACTTTAACTTGGACTCAATGATGAACTCATTAGATTTAGATGGTCAAAGGTCAAGATCCCTGTGACCTTGCATTCGTTGTATTCTTGTGAATGTGACATCTGTAAAACACCTTGAGGGATTTTTTTCAAATTTGGCACAAATGTCAACTTGGACTTAACAAAGAACTGATTAGATTTTGGGTGTCAGAGATCACAGTGGCCTTGTTTGTCTTATACTTGTGAACACATTATCTCAAGAACAACTTAAGGGATTTTTTTTTTTTTTTCAAATTTGGCACAAACATTAACTTGGACTCAACAATAAACTGATTAGATATTGGTCGTCAATGGTTACCGTGACCTTTTCTGTCTCATTCTTGTGAATGCATTATCTCAAGAATATTTTAAGGGAATTTTTTTTTTTTCTTTCAAATTTGGTACAAATGTTTACTTGGACTCGACAATGAACTCCTTATATTTAGGTGGTCAAAGGTCAAGGTCTCTGTGATCTTGCATCCTTCTCGTTCTTGTGAGCGTGACCTCTGTAAAAACACCTCGAAGGAATTTTCCTCAAATTTGGCACAAACGTCCACTCGGACTTAACGATGAACTAATTAGAATGTTTTTGGCCATAACCGAAGAATTCATTTGCTAATTATGACAAAATTGTGTGTCTAAAAGGATCAAATGACGAAGTGATGACATTTTATATCCAAAAGGTCGAAGGTTAACTGCATTGTGACATCATAATGTCCTGCAAATAAACTTTTCTTGCTATTATTCAGCGTCATATCTCAGGAACAGAAGGGAAGACATTTGGTCAGATACTGAATTGGTGACACTAATCTTTTAACTGTGCTGATTGTATAGATCCTCTGTGTGTGAAGCATCCATGTTTTCATACATAGATATAAACTGTAGGAGAAACATGACTGGTTTGCGGAGGCGTACAACCACTGGGCAATAATTCTAGTTTATACTTGGTCTGTGTTACAGAACATTGATCTGCACGCGCTCACCGGCTGGATCCCCGAGCGCATCGCTATGCACTCAGACAATCAGTCGTTCAGCAAGGACGACACTTTCCGTATGCTCTTCCAGAGGTCAGCCTTCTTTCTCTCTTACTGCATCTGTCTGTCTCATGTCTCTGGGTTTCTTTTCCTCCTCACATCTGACTTCATCTCTGTTTTTCTTCTCCCTCTCTTTCTGCTTCTCTCTCTCTGTTGCCAGGTTTCACAGGGGTGACGTCCTCATTACCACGGCAACGGGGGTGATGACAGAGGAAGAAGGGGAGAGATGGGGCTTAGTCCCAACACACGCCTATGCTGTTCTTGACATCAGGGAACATAAGGTCAGCGTAATTAACGTAGCATTAGCGTGTCGTAATGCGCTCTTATATTTATCATCAGAGGGAACATGAGGTTTAATGATGCATTTTGAACATGCTGATCCCTTTGCGTAACGGAAGTCCTGAACATTATGGATGTTAGCACAGAATTCATTTCACTGAATTGAAATCATCCATCTCCTGCATCTGTAGTAGCAGCCATGATGTCTGTGGGTGTGTTGTTCTTGTAGGGAATGCGTTTCCTGCAGCTGAAGAATCCGTGGAGTCATCTGCGGTGGAAGGGACGTTACAGCGAGCGGGATGAGAAGAACTGGACACCTGACCTCCTCAAGTACCTCAACTTTGACCCCAAAACAGCACAGAAGTTTGACAATGGTATTCACTTTATTTTCCAAAACACAACACCTACAATATGGGCAGAAAAGTTAGTTAGTTCCTACTGTGAAATATTTCATTATGTGTTGTTCGTTGTAACTACTGGTTATCACATCCACATCCAAAGGTGGAGTATCAATTGAATCACAAACAAAGATTACAAACTGGCACAGAGAAAAGCAGGGGGGCTCTATCAAATACAAATCATACCTATGTTTTCCTCCGTTTGCTCTCCAGGTGTTTTCTGGATCGCATGGGAGGACCTTTGTCAGTACTATGATGTCATCTACCTGAGCTGGAACCCTGCCCTGTTCAAAGACTCCTCCTGTATTCACAGGTGAGTGGTTGTTTGTCTAATTTTGTTAACACTGAGACGAGAATTGGTAGTGTACAGCTCATGGTTTGTGTTAAGCTAACATTAACTCACTTTCATGGTCATCCTACTAGGCAAGCTGCAAGATATAGCTGAAGAAATTGTAGCGTCAACTACTTTATAATGTTTTACCAACTGTAATTAGGCCCAACGATTCACAGCAGAGCTTTAAATTGAAAAAGAAAAATCTGTTGTTTCATGCAGACTCTATGAACATGGACATCCTGGTGAGAAACATGAACTCGTTACCAAGGTTGGAACTGAAATAACAAATGCATGTAGGCTAACAGCCACGACAGTGAAACCAAACGGTTGTCACATTAAGAATGTTCTTTTCGCACTCAACCTCCTGTCCGCTCAGATTTATCACATAAATCAAAATAGAGTGCTCCAGGGACGACAGTTTTCTGTAGGCCAACGGGGAATTTAGCGTCACCCTGGTTCCTTCATCAAAAGCCAGTAGGATTGTCAATTGGATTTTGGATCATTGCAAAAAAAAAAAAGCTCTGTGGCAAACAAGCGTTTAAAAAATAAACACCACCTTAATGATTTTGGAAGTGTAAATACAGTCACCAGAATTAAAAAGCTAACTTTAGGCTATAAGCGAATTACACTATGGTCACATGACTTAACATCGCCACCACAAGGAGGCTGTTAAGCTGTGTTCGGCGCGATAATGTTCTCTAGTCTTGTTTAGCCACTTGTTAGCAACTGCCTTTTTCACACTTTTAGAAGCTTTAAAATTTACAGTGGGGTATTTACTGATGTATTTTATGCCGTAGAACAAAACATTAAAGTCTCTTCAGCTTGTGTTAACCACAGACCTTATTTCATACATCTAACCAAAAACACATTGACTTCATTGATGAAATCAGGAGTGCAAAAATGCTAACTCATTCAGGTTTTAAGTCTCATTCCTGGGGCGCTCTTTAAGTATGAGTAAATGAAAATAATTGTTAAATTTATGCAAGATAGGCATATTGTTTGTTTTCGTGAACGGTTGATTATTGTGCCAGTATTTGAAATGTTGCTGCCACAAGGAGTTGTGGGATGGCATTATCTCCTTTGGTACAGGAAGGTTCAGTGTATCCTTTGCTAAAGGAGAAAAGAAAGGAAGCACTGAAGCTCCTTTCCTTAGCAGTCAGAGAATTGGACCAGCTCTTGTCGTGACTGCCACTTGGATACTTCGGGGTCATTTCACTCAGTTAGGAACCTTCCTAAGAAAAATAACACTATTCAACTGCAGCCTCAGACTGAAGTGTGTGTGTGTCCTCCCGTCTGCAGTAGCTGGGATGGGAAGCAAGGTCCAGTGAAGGACGTCTACAGTCTGGCCAACAACCCACAGTACAAGCTGGAGGTCCAGTGTCCAACAGGGGGAGCAGCTGTGTGGGTGCTGCTCACCAGACACATCACTGACAAGGTAGAGACACAGAGCTGGGAGATACTGACAGGATACGCCTGTATCTTAGTCAGAGCTCAGTGTTATGATGTAATATTGTGAGGCTGCACTTGTATCTAATAACTGTTTTCTGTTTGTTAATGCAGGACGATTTTGCACAGAACAGAGAGTTTATCACTCTCGTCGTTTACAAGACAGATGGGAAGAAAGTCTACTACCCAGGTGAGGTTTGATGAATGACTTAGAGGACGCGTTCTGTCTGTGGCACTGAGCTGTGAGATTTATACTGCAGAGGAGTGGCAGCAGGAGTTTGAAGGCAGCACTCTGTCACTTCTTTATTTCTGCCCCACAGTCACCCACAACAAGGTCAGACACCTGTAAGGAAGATTAGTCCATCACACACCCCAGACTTCTCTGATACAACTCTGTTCACAAAGAAATAGTTCATCCTCAGTGATGTGAATACGTTTTCATTGAGCGAGTGCGCATACCTAGCAACATCACTGCGCCCTAAAATAGAAATCCAAATAAACTGTTTACTCCCAGGTAAAAGAGACTCTGGAATTTAAACTGTTAAAAAAGGTTTACTGTAACTGTCAGCTCTGCTAACCTCTGGTTAGTCACTGTTTGAACACTTCCTCCACAGCGGATCCCCCTCCTTACATCGACGGCATCCGTATCAACAGCCCACACTACCTGACCAAGATGAGGCTGACCAGCGCAGGGACACACACCTTCACACTGGTGGTTTCCCAGTATGAGAAACAGAACACCATCAACTACACACTGCGGGTGAGAAAGAACTTTTTCTATACATCTCCAGGTTCACAGATCAACAACAAAAAAAGTTTTTTGAAATGAGGTACATGTATATACAGTATGTGAACAACTTTTATATTTATACTTATTTAACCCAACAAAGAATACCTGAATACCAGCAATCAGAGGAAGTACCTGTTATTGGCTGCACCTCCAGAAACCCTGGCTGATTACAATTTGGTGGTCAAAGGTCAAGGTCACTGTGATCTTGCGTTTGTCTCATCCTTGTGAACGTGACTTCTCAAGAAAACCTGAAGGGATTTTTTTCAAATTTGATGAAGATATCCACTTAGACTTAACAATGAGTTGTTTAGAATTTGGTGGTCAAAGGTCAAGGTCATTGTGGCCTTGCATTTGTCTCATTTTTTGAATGCAATATCTCATGAATTCCTGGTAGGAGTTATCTTCAAATAACTCCTACCATAACCTTCCATGTGGACACAAGAATGAACTGATTAGAATTAGCATAGTGTTCAAAGGTCAAGGTCACTGTGATCTTTCCTGATTTCTGATTATTGACATTTTTAAGAGACACAATCTTTCGGGGGAGAACTGCAGTGCATCTAAGAATTGATCCCCCCCCCCTCACTTCTACAGGGAGCATGTCTGCTATGTTTTTGTCAAATTTGCATATTACAGGATTGCAGTTGAGAGAAGCGACTGCTCCCCACCTCTCCTCTCCTTCAGTGTGTGTGTGTGTGTGTGTGTGTGTTAGTAAGTGTGTGTGTGTGTGTGTGTGACCCAAATATATTTTTTTGTCATTTATATTTCATGGACTCCTCTTGCTAACTGCAGTGAGGACTGTGGTGAAGTGTTTATGCAGAAATCACCCTCTAAAAAATCTGAACACATGTCTGCTGTTATTTACATGTATGGTGATGTAGTGTGTGTGTGTGTGTGTGTGTGTGTGTGTGTGTGTGTGTGTGTGTGTGTGTGTAACAGCATTATATCTCCTGTAACCACTGCAAGCTCTGTCTCTGCCTCTCCACCAAGCCAACGCTCTCTTCTCCCCTCAGATCAGCGTCTCTCTTTGAAAATCGTCCCGGGGATGATAATCGTCTTTTTCGCTGAGTTTCCACCAGAGATCAAAGCAGGAAACACAATGTCTTTACTGATGTGTCTTTCACCAGAGCAGCGTCGATATGAAAGATCCATTCTGTGTGCATAGTCATGAATAAATTAACAGAGAGATCCACCGTTAAGAAACATGTCACACTTTGTCTTACAAAGTTGCCCATAACAAAGAGGCGATATTTTTTTTGTTCTTTGTTTCTGAAGTTCTTCCCACATTGGCTGTTCATGTTTATATTTCTCTGTGACTGTCGGGTTGGTACAACTCGCTCTCTGACCCTTTGGAATTGTACCAAACATCTGTTTATCTAAAACAGCAGGTTGTGTTTGTCTCCGTAGGTGTACTCTGGATGCAAATTCACCTTCTCCAAGATCCCAAATCCCTTCACTCAAACCAAAAGGGTATGTTATTCACACACCTACGTACCTGTGCATAGGCACAGCATGATGTGTTTTCTTGTCAGTCACTGGATACATTTACGTGCACACTAATATTCCACTATTATTCTGAATTTCATGCAGGTTATTTAAACAACATAGTCCATTTGGATTTTACGAATTAGGCCTTTCTGTGAATATAGCATTGTCTTTTAAAGACACGTGGGATATGCTGATATTAGTTGGGTTTTAATGGCATTCTCTGGACATGTTTACAGCACGTTTAGAATATGTAGGGCTGCCCCCGACTAAGAATTTTCCGAGTCGACCAATAGTCGTCATTTAGGTCCATTAGTGGACTATTTACCCACATGTTTACAATATTAATTGAATTATTGAATTAAAAATTTTGGTGGTTTGAGCTGAAGGTGTGAGAAAGAATAGAATCAGTAACATTGTTAACACTGTGCTACATTACAGAGAAATACAAAACTGTACTAATGAACCTTCATTAATATAGGCCTATATTTTATCTCCAAGTGCACGTCACACACTGAGCGAGCCGCCTGTTAATGACGCTGTGGGCTAATGTGCATGTAGCTACTTCCATGTTTCAGATGATATGTCATGTTTGTAGTCGACCAATGAAGATGAGTTTACATATCACCTTGGGTTCGTCCTTCACCTTCTCAAAATGATCCCACACTTTGGATTTCCTGCCCGACATGTTATTAACTAGCCTGTGGAATAACTGCAGGTACCAGCCCTGGAAATTAACCTGACTCCTGTCTGACTGCTGAGCGTGGACACTTCCTGTGTCTGTCCTTTCAAAGTAAAGTCACACATGCTCCAGATCCAGAGTTTCACGTTTTTTTGTTTTGTTTTTTCTTCTGCGAGTAAGCGACCAATGAAATCTTGCCAACTAATGACCTTTCTACTCGACTAATGTTTGGGGTTTTTACTGCAGTTTGCGACACGCGGCCTCTTGCCTGTTTACAGTTGGCTCTGTGCATTGTCATGGATACATTGTACACAAACCAACTCGCTGACAGTTTGAAGGCTGTGGGGTAGAGATGCATGCCCAAAAGAAAAGCCCACATTTTTGGACGGAAGGAGAAATACACCTAATTTTAAACATCATGAAAGACTTGGGTATCAACAGGTTTTGGATACGAACAAATAACACAACAGCGACCTTTTCAAGAAAGATGGAGGCTGCGTTCACACAGTCCAACTTTGAAATTATTATATTTTGATGTAAAAATACAAAATGACATGGGATTTTGACAAGATAAACAACGTGCTAGGACACAGTATGAAGAGTATGCATGGCTGCATGTAAATGGGAATATTAGTGGAATATTCACTGTCATTAGAAATAGATGAGGGCAAATCCAGAATGTTTTGTACATGTAAGTGTAGTCGTGTTTGAGTCTTTGCATGTGTCTTCAGATCAACGGCCAGTGGAAGGGCCCCAGTGCTGGAGGTTGTGGGAACTATAAGGATTCATACAAACACAACCCCATCTATCAGATCAACCTGGAGCGAGCAGGACCGCTGCTCGTCGAGCTCCGAGGATCCAGGTCAGGTCTTTACATCTGAGTCACTGAAATATTTCAGTGATCTAAATTCTAGGTTTCTGGGTTTCTTTTTCAAAATTATGTTTTGGGCTTTTTGCCGGTCATGACAGCATGAAATACGCCCCAATTTCTGGGTTTCTAAATGCTGTTTCAGTAATGTCAAGTCAACAAAATGATCCTGGCTAACACCACAAAATTTGGTCATAATTTTAGTTGAAGATAGTTTTTACAAATTATCTGTATTGTTTGTATCAGAATGGCAACATTTATACTGATATTGTTGCATTCTCTCTTTGCCATTTAGCTGGATATAAAACAGATCAATAATGTTGATCTGTTTTATATCAACATTATTGATCTGTTTTATATCCAGCTAAAACAGATCAATAATGTTGATATAAAACAGATCAACATTATTGCATGCTTTGCCATTTAGCTGGATATAAAACAGATCAATAATGTTGTAAATACATGCAAATATATGTCTTGTGTTCCTCCAGGTGCCGTTTAGTTTCACTTCAGTTTTACTGAATCTGTCCGACTTACGTAACGACTCATTAACAGGATGACTCAGTGATTTCAGTGTGTTTAATTCTCAGTCTGTCCTTTGACATGACAAATATTCTAAACATGTCTCTGCATCACAGCGGCAGGATCAAGATATTTCTGAGACTGATGTATTTACAGTATTTGTCATATAGAATCTGAAATACTGTGTCACTGTTTTTAATGTGTAGCACAGAGCTCCTTTCATTCTCCAGGATAATGCCCCAACTATACTGGATCTCTGATGTTGATATAAATATCTTAAAGATGAAACAGCTGATGTTTTTGATGTTTCTGATGATATGTATGCTGAGGGACATTTTTCAACCTTGGTCCCCAACAGGGGGTCCTCAGAGTTACTGCAGGGAGGCTGCTGGATTATTGTTGAATTATTTAATTTTAGTTTTAGTTATTTATTCATTTCAACATTTAAAATATATCTGAAAATACACATTAAAATGAATCCAACATATTGTTAGCAAAGATAAATTGGACTATTCTTTAAAAAAAAAGTGCTACACATGCACAAGTGAAAATATATAAATAAAAAACAGAGAAAAAGTTTTAAAAATGAGAGTTGTAATTTTACATCTCTTTCTAATGCTGCCTCACCAAAGTTTTTACCGATAACAGAACTGTGTGACCGCAGCCTGACTGTCTTCAGTGTGTGTTATTTAATGTCTCTGCTGCTCTGTCTGTGTGTCTGCAGGCAGTACAGTGTCGGCTTTGAGATGGTGACCGTGTCGACGGTGGGGGATCCAGGCCCGGCTGCCTTCCAGAAAAAGAGCAGTGGAGATTACAGGTAAAGAGCTGAGCAGGTGCTGACCACAGATCAGCAGTGAACAGCTCACAGGTAGCCTCGAAACAGAAAGCTCTTTTAATGTGGAACATACGTGTCGACAGTCTGTTCGTTTACATCATTACAGAACGGCAATGTGAAATTAATTTTGTATGGACACGCTAATGTTTCGACAAATAAAGAAAGTCTTTGTCAGTAATTTGATTCGTAACAAGTCATAACAGATTTGCATGCTTGAAGAGAAACAAATATGAGGGTATTTATATTTTTAAACCCAGTAATTTACATTATTATGTGCTTCATTATTATGAACTTCTTAGTAGGTGTCCATTAACAGTCAGAATTGAGTATTCACCCAGACCATGGTATAACGCCCCCTAAATCCTGCACACTGGACCTTTAATTTTATTTTGAAACCTGCAGTGCTTCCATTTGTGTCTGGCGGACAGTCCTCTGTCCTGCCTCTGAAGGTACATCACCACATTTCTTGGTGCATTATAGCCACCAACTGTATATCAAAGACCTGCATGCACGTTGTGCGACTAGAGCAAAAGATAAAAACCAAAGTGAGGCCAGTATCACTGTGACAGAGTTCAAAAGAAACAGAGGGTTGATTTAAAAAGTGGCAGCGAACAAACAGAAATAACCAAGAGTCACATGATGACCGGCACAATATTAAGGTCGCATGATTATTCCTGATGTGAGAGTTAACGGGGAATTAGTTTGTTGCAGTGAACAAAGAACTTCAACAACAAGTCAAGTATGTCTTTATATTTCTAATATCTTACACAGTGTGACAGTGAACTTTACAGACACACATCAGCAACTCAAGAAGTCAAGAAGACAAGAACTGTTATTGTGAGCACAAATCAGCATGTTGAGGACGTCACATAGATGGACCAAGTGTCTCTGAAGATAACATGTCTTTATATACACACCGTCAGCTCTTCTTCATGGTATAATTTTAGATTTAGTGAAAGAAACTGAAGTTTGAATCGAGGGAGGTATAAACTCCAGTCTGAATCAGGTTGTCTCCTCCTCTCAACTAATTTCTGCAGAAGCTGAATCTCTCTGTCTCTTTCTAGATGTGGCTTCTGCTACATGGAGGTGGAGCACGTCCCAGCAGGCATCTACAACGTCATCCCCACCACCTTCTTGCCCAAACAGGAAGGACCCTTCTTCCTGGACTTTGCCAGCACCTTGCCCATCAAGGTCTCTCAGCTCCAATGAAGATGGAGCTGGAGAGAGGACCGGGCAGGGAGACTGGGAGAGAGTGTCACTGGAACTGTACTTTGGATGTGATGAGGTACCAATGAAACACAAAGGCGCCCAGAATGTGTCACAGCGTCTCCCCAGCTCCTCTCACTGAGACCTTTGCTGAGGACAGACTGTGACCAAACCACACAGTTCAGTGAAGGAATAATTTATTAGTAAGGAATCAGCAGGAGGAACCTCAGTGTGGAATAAAACCCGTCAACAGTTGAGATGTTTTGGGACAAAATAAAATATGCTTACATCAGAAATTACACAGTGATAGTGACAGAGAGCAGTCGTACTTCCATTTGCCATAAGAAGATCGACACAGAATCTATGGAGCAGCGGTGTCGTTGCTCTGATCAGACTGTTAAATCTGTTGGATCTCATGAGATAACAGTGATCATGTGACCACTTCCTGGACTCGACAGGATGAGGAGAAGTAATGGGCTTGAAATGATCACCAGCCAAGGCTGCATGAGAGCAGCAAAGTCTTTTCAGGTTCTGTTTTGCTGCAGTGAGCACCTCAACAGTCCACAAATGCGTTCTGAGTTTTTGATCCTGGGTGGATTTTTTTAAGTTAAGGCATATGTCATTTTTCAGTAAGTTCCTTAGAGAGCTAGGAGAGCATCTGTCCTCACTCTTTCATGGCTCGGGACCTGTGATTACAGTGGTACAGTATCTATATTCTGCAGTGAGCAGCGATGTCTCAGACAACAGTGTTCTTCCAACTTTGTGGCAACCAGCTCCATAAAGAAATAAAGACTTCACTGATGCTCATGGGGTCAATGGGAGTAAAGGCCTTTGCACACCAAGTCCGTATTTTTCGTAGGCTTTTAAAATTTGTCGTCTGATAAAAATGGTTACGCGCAGAAACCTGCACATTGAATTAGTCCATTGTGTTTCATTGTTCTCTCTCTCTTGCTGCAGATCCTTAAAAAGTCTAAAGCCCAGTTCAGACCAAAGATTTGCGACAAGATGAAACTGCTTTAGAACGTTGCAGAGAAAAGATGCAGCGGTGTGAACTGGCCGTCTGAGCTCGACTGAAGCCGGCTGATGGTGACACCTGCAACTCAGATGGACAAATTGTGGGCGGCTGGTTTTAGAACGTAAAGCTCATCGCCTGCTTCTACAGCCGATCGGCTTGTAGTGAAGTCCACTGGTCCGGTGTCGGGATGGTGGGTCACTGCTGCTGCTGGCTGTATGTGCTTATGCTTATTTTGATGTATTGATTATGAATACAGTCCATCTGATGCTGGTTTTGTTTCTGTTTTTCATTGTTTCATCACTACTACAAATGCAGCTGTAGCCAGTATCTCACTGTCACTATCCTCATTCAGATTTTAAGAAGCTACAAATTATATTCAGCCACAAAATAAGTCTGAAAAGCTGCAAATCAGAACAGAAGTACAGAGAGTTGTTGACTAGAGATGATACACCGTCTCATCTAGTTGCATTGGTGTGAACCAGCAGGTTTTCAGAATGCTGCAGAACAACACGTTGCAAGTAGTTTATTGTTTCATCTCATCTCGTCGTGAATCTTTGGTTTGAACTGGGCTTTAGGGAGCATTGAATTCGGGCCGTAGAAGGCCGTAATTGGTGTAAAATCTCTTAAATCAATATTTCAAAAGTCTTCAGAATGCTCGGACATGGGAAGTAGGATTTTATGAGTATTCTGACGTTGCATTGTAAAATGTCAAAATAGTTTTTCTTAAACAATATACAGAATTCCTCTTGCAGTAACATCACACTGATCAGAATAGTGGAACAAACGACACATATTTTGTTTCTGCTCAGAGCAGAGGATCCACTCTCTGTCCATGTCTTGCATTTCGCACTGCAGCTACCTGAGTTATGAAATGACACTGTGCACTAGGGCTGGCAATCACCAGAGGATCTACGATACGATAGTATTAAGATACTTAAGTCATATTATTGGGATGTTAAATATGTTGAGATATGCTGAGTATTTTGATAAAATATATTGTGGTTATCACCTTTTTTCAACTGTAAATTTTGTCCCCAAAAGAAAACTTTGTCAACTGTGTTCTCTGATAAGTCTGTTTCTGTTCATCTCACTTCAGCTGTTTTTTTTGCAGCGGCAAAATGTATCTAGAAGACTGAAAAAGCAACTGATTATATTATTCCAATAGGCTACTTAAAGTTAAATTTGTATTTGAAATTTTAATAATTTATATTATAAAAAATCGTGTGACGATACGATATTGCCACACAAAAATATTGCGATACATTGTTGTACCAAATTTTCCCGACCCCTACCGTGCAGGTGTAAAATTTTACTCTGCCATAAGCGTCATTATTGCTGGTGTGCATTTCTGGATAGTCTCATGTTGCCTTCTCTTTCAAGGAGAAGACTTTGCTCCCATATATTTCTCCTTCTTTTTCTTGCTGGCCTGCTGTTTGCTTCAGGCCTGTTCCTCTCTCTTGATGTGGACACATGTGTCCCGCAGGTTACGCCACAGTTTCTTCACTGCTCTTTGTTCAAACAACTCTCTAAAGGCTTTTCATAAAAAAGAAACTTGTTCAGGAAACTTAGACAATGGACAAAAGTTTCGGAGTTGGTGTGCAAAGGCCTTAAATCTCTGCAGCCAGGTTCTACCATCTGGTGGACAGACTGTGAGTGGAGGTTGCTATAGCAGCACATTAATGCCTGACGCTTTGGAATGACATGTTCAGCTTTCACACACAGGTGGAGTGTTAATGTGTCCACATACTTATGGCCAAGTTGTGTCTCTGGAACATCCGCCTCATTTTCCTGTTAGAAACCAGAGCAGTGACAGCTCAGTGACAGTGATTCATCCATGCAGGCAGGTGCAGGAAAGGTTCATGATGATGTCTCAGTAAGAGAGAGACCTGTCAATCATCCAGTGTGGAGTCAGTGTGGAGTGACGGCTGTCTCGGGTGAATTCGTACACAGTCCCGCTGAGCAGAAATAGCAGGAAAGCTTTTCCCTGCTGTAACTTCAGTTGTGTTGTACATCACAGTGTCACCTCTCCACAGAAAGCAAAAATAAGAATCAAGCCCAAGATATAAACCAGATCATAAATTCATGATCATGATAACTCTTTGTTATGGAAAGCCATAGAAAGAACATACATGGTGTGACAGGATGGAAAATGAACTCATGCTTGAGATGCTCATAAATGCAGAACATTTGATTCTGGCAGCCATGATACAAAATTTTACTTTTATCCCTGTCTTTATTCAAGAGTGTGGTGTTTCAATTTGAAAGCAAGATTCAGTAATTTAACTTTCAAGTTTTTTTTTCCCTCCCTCAAACCCCTGCCCTCACACTCAAACAGCTCCTGCTCTGCTCCTGTTCAGACTGTCTGCTTTCACTCAGACATATTGTTGCCGTCACAGATTTCCTGCGCTCCAGGATATTTTAAAGAAAAGGTGCCAGGCAGTTGATGGATTTCGCACATTTTAGGTGTTTAAATGTTAAAAGATTTGTATAGAGGTTTCACATTTTTACAATTGGAAGATTGTCAGCATTGACACTGGAGAGGGGCTGAAGAGCCACATGTGGCTCCGGAATCACAGGTTGCCTCCTTCTGTCGTAAAGCGTCTCATGCAGGTGGTTGCTCTTTAACCAGGTTCATTCACTTTATTAAATGTACTTCCCTTGTTTTTTTCAGCTTTTGACATTAAGGACAGTGAATAAACATGCTAGCGCCCCTTACTTTTTTACTATAATAGTTAGCTATGTTCAGCACACTGACGGGAGGCTGACATGCTCTACAGCTACTGTTATACTGGAGGACAAAATGTCATGTGATCTGAGAGCAGACACTTCACAAGTGCACAGAAAGACCTTGAGAACGAGGAGTAAAGCTCAATCTGGAGCACAGGAAATCTGTGAAAGCAACACTGAGTGATAGCAGAGCAAACATAAGTGCAACAGAGGGTGTTTGAGAGAAAGAAAACACAATTTGAAGGTTGAATTAATAAATCTTGCTCTCAAATTTAAAAAAAACAAGCTCTTAGACAAAGATAGAGATAAAACCCTGTAAGAATTTCCACAAATGAAAGCCTCAGTCGTCCCTTTCTTTAATTATTGCTCCACCTGACCATCAGACTCAGAGTTAAACAGTCCGGAGTCAAACTAGTAAAACCTGATTTAAGGTCTGTGAGGTGGAGAAGCGGTTAGTTTCCTTAAATGACCGTGAAGGTTTTTTATTCTCAGGAGCAGTGCAGCCGAGCAGCACCACAGGGAATCCAGTATGGCAGCAGTTGAATGATGTCTCTTCATGTTGTCTGTGGATGTTACGGCTTAGTGATGAAATATCAGCCTGATTTCACTGACAGGCCTCACGTCAGCAGCACTCAGCTTCACACAGGTGTCACACGCTGTATGTGCGATACCTCTGTGTGTGTGTGTGTGTGTGTGTAAATGTTTGATTGTCCACCTTCTACAGGTAAAATGTAAATGTATTCCCAAGTACACATCCTTTGTTTACCTTTTTTTTGCTGATATACTGCACTTTTTTTTATCATTTCACATTACTGTTATTGTCAGACATAATGTATGGAAATGAATATGTCACTTTGTTTCTTCAACGCTCACAGTTTGAAATGTATTCAGAAAGCGTCTCACTTGTCCGTGGTCACCTTGTTTTCAGGGTGAAAAGTTTCACCTGTCAGCAGTCTGTCATGCGCAAATGTTGCTGCTGCTTGTCTCTGCAACTCGAGCAGTCACATCACAATTCTTCGGCACCGGCGTCTGTTGCAGTCGTGGGTTTGCTGTGGTGGATTAGGGTCTCATTTATAATTGCGTACGCACAAAACAAGGCCTGAACGAGACGTGCGCCACCTCCCACAGAAAAGTTGCGATCTATAAAAACAGACTTGATGGGAGAAACGCTGCTTACAAACATTTTGGAGACAGGAAATTGGCAATGCAGATGGTGAGGTGGAAGCCTGATTGTAGACATTGTCACATATTCTTTTGGTGCACGCCATCAGGTAGAACCAGTCAGCCAATGTCAACCATAAAGGGATAGTTCAGATTTTTTGAAGTGTTGTTGCGTGGGTTACATGTGCATAGACAGTATATTTCATACAGTAGATGTCAGTCGGTACAGTGCCAAGGGGTTGGTTCGAAACCAGGGGTGGAGGAGCATGTTCTCCCTGTGTCAGCGTGGGTTTCCTCCAGGTGCTCCAGCTTCCTCCCACAGTCCAAAGACATGCAGGTTAACTGGTGACTCTAAATTGTCCGTAGGTGTGAATCTGAGTGTGAATGGTTGTCTGCTGTATGTAATACACTGGATATGAATAAGTACCCCATACGACCCCACTTAAATAATCCGAACTCTCCCTTAAAGTCACGGTGTGTTCTGACCTGGGTGTGATTTTTCTTTTTTAGTTGTCAAACTTTAGTTTTCTTTGCAAAATCCAAATGAAAAGTCAGTGTCAGACAGCTGACGGTATTGTAATGCCCTTTAATTTTGAATGTTTACATGAAGGTAAATAGGAAAGAGAATCTGACTGCAGCCGACGACACAGGGTGAGTTAGTTAGTGTTAGTCTTTCTGTGGAGCCGGATCCACAACTGTAAACTGCTGTAGTGAATGTAACGCCAAACAACCAAGGACTATTTACATTTCATTGTTCTGTTTTTTTTTTTTTTTTTTTCATTTAATTGATTATTTAACCCATTAAATGTTTTTTTTTAATGTGGAAATGTCCCTCAGAAAGTCACAGAGCCAAAGGTTACATCTCAGCTAAACAATATTGGATTTTCGGTGATGTAACAGAAAGAAAAGCAGCAAATAATTTCATTTCTGAACCTGAACCAGTGATGTTTTTGTTTTTTTGCCCAACTATCGATTATCAAAATTGTTGCTGATATATTTATTATTAATTGAGTTATGGTTGTTGCAGTATTCACTGGTTTCCTGCAGCCTCTAAAGTGTGAATGCAGACGTCACCAGACTGCACCAACAGGCCACTGAATGCATTTTCCCAACATAATTTAAAAATGTTTCATATGCTTCCATTGTGTTAACCACGAGCTTTGGCTTTGCTTTACAATCATACATTTATTTTAAAGAGAGCTTGCCTCCATTATTCCATGTTCACACTCTGTATGTGATGAACTTGATCTGGATCATAATAATGCTTCCGGGGAGCAGGGTGACAGTTTTCACTCGTAGTTAGTGTTCACAGTAATCCATAGTAAAGCCAGTGCAGGCTGCTTGTTGACTGTAAATGAACTATAGATG